CCTCCCGTCCACGCGCTCAGCTGTGAGGCTGTTTCCCTCCCGAGTAGAGCGTCGTCCTCGATGTTTGACAGACAATAGTTAAAAAATAAATGACAAAACACGTCGAGCATTAATTGCACGGACAGGAAACTCTCTAATTAGACTGGATGTTTATTGCTGTATTCCTAAAACGCAGTAGAAGCCTAATTCTACTCATTACAATGATGTAGGCAAAACAAATTATGCGTCTTGTGTTGTTCTTCAACAGACAACACAAAAGCCTTACTATCTATTTTAATAATGTCTATTTATAAACAGTACTGATGGCCTAATGCACTTTTCAGCATCATCATTAAGACTGTTGTCCATCCTTCCTTTCTCCAGGCAATCTGCTGCAATAAGGCAACTGAGGTTATCCCTTGGGCAGCCTTCAACATTGCTTGTTTCCTATTAAAACAACATATACTCCTCCTAGTATGAGAGTTGGACTACCAATGATCCAAATATAAACCATTTAACATAGTGGCCTCTGTGATGGTTTGACTAATGTATAATGTTCAGTGTATTTCATCCATGTATTCATGTGACCGGCTGCCTGGACCATTCTTACCACAGTGCGATCTAGAATTATTTTATTTAATCATAATTATTATAAGTGGATGGAAGTTGCACTGTCAAATCTAATTTCTTGGGCCAGTTGGCTTCTTTGGCTTCCATTCAAAAGGAATATTATCATTACTCACCATTTATGAAATGTGGCACATGTGGGTCAGATTGAATCAAACAATAATTTGTCACATTTGTTCTTGCAAAAGAAGATTTTGGCTGCAGTGTGGCATCTGTAACCAAGCAGCAACATATCTATTTTGATTTTAATGAAAGTTAAAGGCTGGTGATAAAAAACATGGGCTTATTTACAAAGCAAGGAGAGGGGGAGCTAACTTCCTGTCACCTGCATTTAGCGGGACTAAATATACTTTTTTCACTTAAACCTGCCGGCCTTAAAAATAACTAAAACGTAATTCCAGCCTCTACTAAATGTTGCAGCTAGAAAAAACTTCAACAAACACGTTGACCTTTTTGCCCTTGCTGCTGATTTAAGATTGAACTGATTGTCAAGTTATTCTCCAAGCTTAGCTGAATAAATTGAGCTCTTTGTACTCACTTGATGGACTTGACCTGTGCTTCAATCGAGTGATTATAAATATATCTGAAAAGATAAAAAACAATTCAAATCTTTAAAATTCCCTGGCGGAAGAGATTGCTGCAACACCATTTGGGATCCATGTTTACTGAATAAAACAGCTGCAGCTTTTTTCTTGATTCTTTGGCAAACAGGCATCTACAGACAGATGTTATTTTACGTCAAATGATATCAAACCTAATTAAGCATTTGGAGTGCTAAGACGGCACTGGTATTACATCCCCGCCCCTCCCCCCCTCCCTCTTGCAGATTGCTGAAGTGGACTTATTTTGGTCCTGGCAGTGCATAATGCACATTGGGCTCCTTGACAGCTGCGCTGGTGTTTCTACGTTACGCGCACGTGTTTGTGCGTGATTAAGAAAGAAACGCCACACACTTATCAAGTGTGATTTCACGCTTTTCCATAATTGCTGAATAGTTCCTGGTTGACCACCCCGCACATTGTGAGCACACGCCAGTTTTTGAGATGTGTCAGGTTTAGAAGTTGATTCATCCTGCTCTTCCTCCGCTTAGTCATGTCAGAAAGCATTGCTCAGACTGCAATTATGCGCCGCCGAGGCCCCGCAGTCACGGCTGCACAACTCTGATGGAAAGGCGTGTAGGCTACAGGATATTTTTTCATATTGATTCAGTAATGCCGCCTAGATGATGTACTTCTTGACCCGTGAGGTGGAAATATGTACACATCTAGAAAGCACTGAAGTGGTAGATGGAAAAGCTGAAAAAAATGAAAGAAAAATGGAATCCGCAAAACATTCCTCAAACCTTGATAACCTTCGTTGCTGCATTTATTTTCTATTTACAGATCTCATTAACTTTTATTCTGTGATTTTAATGTGAATGAACATAGAAGTATTTTATCAGCATTGATACAATGCAGAAATGTGTTTTCTGTTACTCTGGATGCTCTTGGTTTAAAGTTTAATGTAATGCCAATAAAAATGTAATTCTGTCAGTAGCAAGTTTTTTTCAGTTTAAGATTCTTCATCATCAGGTAACTGGACCATACACTCCTAATGAACTCTTTCCAGAGTCTAGGTATCAAACGCTGATCTTATTTGGGCTTTTGAACATCCAAAACAGGCTCCGTAATTAAAAATAAATCCATGAGATGTTTAAATAAGGGTAGATAAGGGTAGAGAAAAAATCTCTGGTTTTATGTGCAGAAAGAAACTCAACACCATATCCAGAATAAGGGTAATTACAATTGGAGCAGATGGAGCTCTACTAAGAAATTCAGCTGTGAATTATGAGTGTGAATCACATGTTAAAGTGCCCCAAGGAGATGTTCTGAACCTACCTACAACAGCACTGGGCATTACCATTAAACACCTGTTAAACACCAGTTGTGACTTATATAGCTACAATCATTTAATTTATATCTACAATGCTCATGCATGACGGGTACAACATGCTTGAAAGAATATGACCAATCAAATCCGGATGTTTTATATGCTTTATGGGCCGTAAGCACCAGGTTATTTCTTTCGGTTTACTTCCTTGTGGCTCCCTCAAACTTTTATGAATCAAGATCTTGGATTATACTCAAAGCGTATTTCAAACAGGACCCCCATGCTAAAACCAATACAGCTTATCACAAATAATATATTATTTCATACTTAACCCTGGAGCCCTATCTGAAACAGGCTTCCACACTTATCTGGTGCCATCATCTGCTAATGCCAACTTTATTGATATTTGGGATAAAACGAAAGCCCTCTGTGGGGTTCGTCCACTGTGAAGGGCACATCAGAGGCTCCTCTGACGGAGATGAGGGAGAAGAGCCTGACTCACGGGCTGCTAAACAGAGAGAGAGAGAGAGAGAGAGAGAGATTTGATTTATTTAGAAATTAAGTGCATATTCAGCACGGTGGAACTCAGGGCAGCATTTGTTTGTAAAGGTCGGTCAGAACCCGGCGTCCTGTTGACTGATGAGGACACCGGCTCTGCTATGTGAGATTGATAAAAAGAAATGCCAAGAACGGCAGCCTGTGAATGCAAAAAAGGCTGATGTTCAATTATCTTAAGAAAGAAAGAAGGCCCCCTCTGCCCTTCCTCGTAATATTATTAGCGGTGTAATTTACAACCCAGATTTTCAAAATGTAGCTAGCTGCTCACGTTACTGATGCAGACATATTTTTGAAAAGCTTTGTTTTAGATTAATGGAGGATTAACAGGGGGGGTATTTTGACGTTTAAATTGAATTCTTAGTAAATCCATTTTACAGACTTCTTGAGTCTTGAGCAAGATAGATAATTAACCGTCTTTGTGATTGCAACACACAAATGCATCAAACCCTGCATGCTGCAAACAGGGCGCAGAGTCATTAATAGTAGCATAAAAAAAGCAGGAGTGGGTATTATAATTACAAGGCCTTCCATCCATCTGTGCTCCTTCCAGAGAGCCCGAGTGACTCTGCAAAATGGATGAACCTGCTTCATGAGAGGATGAATTTCAAGATGTTATGCAGTCGTTAAAAAACACATTAAAACACCATCACCTCTGTTGGGTTTTACTGTTGGCACTTGAGGTACTTTTAGTTTCCGCAGTATTTCAACATTAAAGTCATTGAGAAAAGGAGAAAAACGAAGAAGAACTTGGTGTATTTAACTAAATGCTTGAAAGTGGTGGTTTTGTAAACATGGTTCAGCCTGTTGTGTTGCTATGAACTTTATAATATACAGAATACAGTGAAATTTAATTAATTTCCAGTTTACAGCATATGAACAAAATGGATTTTTTTGCTACAAAGCATCTGTAAATGAATATGAGTTGACTAAATATACTTTTCGAAAATGGAAAAAAAATGACTTATTCTATTCTACACTTTTCTGTCACTGAATTAATAACTCTGCTGTTGCCATTAATCCTTAATTTTCACACAAAAGCCGACACTGAGTTTTGTATAATATATTTACCGTATCATATATTTCTAAAGCTGTCTGGAGGGATTCCTTGATAAGCTGATTTAATGTAGCCGCAAAAATAAAACATTGAAATGTATCCATTTTTTTCCCTAAAACGTTTTTTTAGGGAATTATACATTGCTTCATAACAATAGACTACGAAAGTTAAGACCAAAATAATGGAGTCTGCCTGTGTATGGTATATTCCTGAACTATTGAATTGACTGCTGTAGCCACATTCTTTTATTACTTTACATATTTTAGTTTTCCATCTAGATAGATTTGTATTATGCAGGTAGCTTGCCAATTACTTTTAATAAAAATGTGGAAAAAGGACTTTTTCACATTTTTCTAATTTCTACTTTCTAGGATTTGAATTTATTCCTGTGATTTCTTTTTTTTAATCTCAATTGAAACACCTCATCACTGCTCTTGCTGGCGTTTTCATTTTTAAAAAGAACCCCCAGTTATTTCATAAATCAACCAATTTGGCCACTAATGAATAAAACAAGCCTTTGATTTAACAGGCTTTGGGGGGGAACGATCCCACAGGGCAAAGTTTAATGATTGAAAGCTGTGGAATAGAAACCCAGGAAGTCTTGGTTCCCTCAAAGATTAGAATTATCAGAAAACTCAGATATCCAAGGCATTATCTCTCTTCTCCTTTAGGGCTACTGATCAACGCACAAGTACCTTTTCTTTTCAGAATTGCTATTGCTATGCAGACGTTATCTAACCTCCATTCAAGTGAGCTTCACTGCATTACTCTAAACTGCTTTTCTTGTTTTGTATTCATTATTTTAATTCTAGCTGATTGTAAGTAACATGACCTTCATTGCTCAGTGCATTTGCTTTAGTTTATATAACAGAGCCGTACGTTAACCTTTTAAGCCCTGAACTCTCCTTCACAGGTACTGTTTTGGTGGAAAACATGCAGATCAATGGTCGCGCCCAAGACCCAGGCAGAACCATCTCGCTGACGCTGCTGGAGAACTACGACTACTGGGTGATCCTGGAACCCGCTCGACAGAGGCTCTACCTCAACAGCACCGGGCGCATTCTGGACAGAGACGTGAGTAACGGGACTACAGGCCGGCGCATGCTTCTGCGTCGTGTCGGTTCTAAAAGGCTTGCGTGTGTTGCAGAGCAATTCACCTCCAGAACAACAGGCGGAGTAACGTGTTTTGGTTGAAGACGACCTAGAGAGTCACGTCTATTTATTTATTTGTTTATCATAGACTTTATTGCCCCGTGCATCGACACTGTTGCTTTTCATCGCGGGCACATTTGTCCCGTATTTTCCTCCACAACTTTGTGCACCTCTCGACTGGCAAATTGGCGTTTGCGGCGATCTCCCCCCGTGAATCTAACTCGCTTCTACAAACCGCCAATGACTGCTTGTATAAGCGAATATTATATAAAGTCGCCGTTGTGTCTTTTTGTTTTTAAATATATTTATTTTCCATCGTTTATGAATAGATGTGAGCACGAGCTGTTCTCCTGTGGTCGCTGGTCTCATGGTAAAGATCAAGTGTCGTATGCACACAGTATCGTTTTAATGGTAATCATAGGTTCCATTGAAATGTACTAATTAGTCAACATTGTTATAATTTCTGAGGCTTGTGGGAGGCCATCCACATGATGAACAAGTAATAAAGCATATCGAGAGGTTTTAATTGGCTGTTTAAGGTGGTGTGGTCTTTTTACAGGAGCGTTAAAAAAAAATTCTCGAAAGAGGTTCTTAGGATGTTTTATCTTCCGACGCTAATAACACAAAGAAGAAAGGCAAACAATTAGCCAGAACGTTTCCACGCGAGTACGTTGCCTGACACGCGTAACCAGGATGGCCGATTTTGGCCGAGAAATTGACAATTCATACGTCCTTTAGTGTTATTATTTTCTTTAATCCATACAGACTTTATTATTTACATAAGTGGTTCCACCGATTACAATATTTTAGAGCTACCTCCAAATTTCTCAAATCAAGATTTGTGGTATCTAGATGTTGACGAGCTAGTAACTTCAGTTAATGACCCACCTGCATAAATGGCCAAGAAGGATGAGCAGAAAATATGGTGTTAATAAGCCACAAAATCCCAGATTCTATGAGCGCTCCAGCTAGCGTACACACGGTTCCCACATGTGCAACACAGCAGGATGCTCCTTTTGTTTTGTTCTGTTGCTCCTTTGTGTTGTTGATTTCCATTTTCCGTGCATACAAACAGGACATGTGAGAAAGAGGACAAATCAAACACACCCCTTGAGATGGCCCACACCTTGCTCATTTGAACTGATATTAGAAACTAGTAATTGATTGTAGTTCACGTTTTTACTGTTTAGCTACAAAGAGAGAATAATGTATTTGTAATGCAGCACAAAGTTGTCAGTGGTTCAGCCTAGATTATTAACCACTGGTGCTAAATATAGTAGGCGAATGAATAAATGCAGAAACGGTGTCTCTATGTAATATGTTCAGGTCAGTTCTCCAGGGTACCCACATGTACCTGCCGTGAATACAGATCAGTTTAAATGGAAGTGAGGTGTGAGGTTCTCTGGGGTGTAAAGTGCTGCGACTGCTGTGGGAAAAGGGTTTTCTTTTTTTGAGGAAGTGCGTGCTTGTGTTATATAGAATATGGGGATGAAGCTATACTTGAAGCTGCTAATGGGAATACCATATAAATATGGATAAATAGCAGGATAATTGACAACAGGGAGGGAACAAATGGGAATCAAACCTTTGGCAGTGAGGAGAGAAGAGGAGAGGAGGAGGGAGAGGTTGACTAAGTTGTGTTACAGCATCACTATTTCTAGATTTAGGTAATGTCTAACAAGCAGTGGTGGCAGGGAGACAAGCTGTTGCTGCCCAACATAAATTTTAAACAGAACCGTGGCAGAAAGCCGGCAGCTCGATTAGGTCAGTCATTTGAATAATTTATTACATTCACTATTTAAAATGCAAAATCCGGCTGCACTGTCAAGCTTGACATGATAATAAAAAAAGAAACAATAGCTGTGATTCCTTTACAATCCTATAATCCAATAATACTCCTACACCAATTCATCCGAACCCCAGTAGATTGAATTGGGTGAATTCGATGTCCGAATATAGTTGATGTGACCAGTGGAGGTCAGTGCCGCGGCTCTCATTTGATTAACTCTGACAATTCTGTCTGAATTACTCGGCTTTCTTTCTTCTCATTTAGCCGCCCAACTCCATCACCACCATAGTGGTTCAGGTCCAGTGCACCAACGAGCTGGTTGGTACGGTCATTTTCCACGAGGTACGGATTGTCGTGAGGGACGTGAATGACAACACGCCTCGCTTTCAGCAGCCACGCTACTATGTTGCCGTCAACGAGGTGAGGAAGCAACTGCCGTTGTTGTGTCTCTTTGTGAATCAAGACGTTGTGCAAAATTTGAATGTGGGTTGGACCAGTTTAGTCAGAAAATGTGCCACTTCCAGTAAAAATCGATGCAGCTTGTGTGTTATTTTCTTCCGATTTATTTTAGCATCCCTGAGTTGGCCACACTAACTTTTTCCCCACATGCTAGTTGGACTAGCATGGGCTAGTTGCAACAAAGTCTGAATCACTATTAAAATCACGCATGGTTTTTAACTCTCAACAGGGTCCTGAAGAGTCAAATTAAGATGTTGACTCAATCTTATTGAGGAACGTGACAATCTGAGTGCCTGCCCTCTTAGTTGTTTGTTGGGTTTTTGTTGACTATACATAATGTTTCATTATTGATACTTGAAATAATACCACAATTCTGCAGAATCTGGCTGTACAAACCAAGTGATACTTCCCTGTCAGAAAAACATTTAGTATTTGTTATTTTTTCTCAAGTATGAACATTTGGTCTCCACAGGACGCATTCATGCAAACTGACAGGTCGGGACGGCATCCAAAGAATTTATTTGCAGCCTGTTTGCCTTCATTCATATCCGTCTCTTCAGTGCGAGACGTGACGGACGCATCCGCCGTCTGTCAAAGTCCTCTGAATCTACAGTTTATGTGTTTCGCAACTAGGTGATAATTCCCCGCTGAGTTCTTTGACTGCCATTGTTTACACTTTCGTGCATTGCGCATTAGCCCTTCCTGTCACAGGGTGTTATCTAAGCCATATGCAGCTTCCCCAGCAGTACAGTGAGTCATGCTACATCGCTGTCGACTTCTTCCCCCCGAACAAGCGCTCGCTGCCTCGTCCTGTCCACCACGGCTGAGGGCTCTTGGGAAAAGTAGCAGTTCTCATGCTCACTTTTTGTTATTCTGTCAGCATGTAAGTTGTCGGGCCGCTGCTGACGGCAACGTTTCCTTTTTTTTAAAGTTTTTCTTTTTGTGCCTTTAATGGGCTTGAGTGGCAACAGTAATGGCTATATGCACGACAGGCTGTCTGCTGTAAGTAGATGTTGTACTCACAGGGGTCTGTCTGAGCTGCTGACTTCTTTCCCTGTAGCTCACGCCGGTTGGAACGACCATATTCACTGGCTTCTCAGGAAACAACGGCGCCACGGACATTGACGATGGGCCTAATGGACATATAGAATACGGCATCCGTTACAACCCCAGTGACCCGGTATATGGACTAGTCACAGCATGATTAACACTATTCTGAATTTCTTCAAGAGTCATGACTTATTACTCTCATTCACCTTTCTTCCCGCACTCTCTTTTTTTCCCTCAGGCATCGAACAGTACAGTGAGTGTGGCTAACACCCTTTCAGGATTCATTATTCTGGCAGAGAGGCTAAACTATGAGGAGACAACTCGCTACCTGGTTTTGGTCCAAGCCAATGTAAGTGACGTTTGATGGATCTGTTGATAACGCCAGTAGGTTCTCAATTTCAGCAAATTATAAATTGACGAATTTTCTGAATTTGGAGTAAATTGAATTTTGGCCTAAATTTTAAGGGGTGCATGATATGTGGTCACCATTTTGCAAATTGACCTCTCTGTTTTGCGTTTGTATTAGTTTTCCCAGTTTTATTTAAACCTCCTTTCAGACATCAACAAGAAGAAATTTAAGATTTAGACTTGATTGAAGCTATCTTTCAGACATTCTGTGATAACTGTCTCTAGTCTGTATTAAACAGAGCAACTTTGCTAATCAGAATTAATAATGAATATATAATTATGGATTTTGCTTGAGCGATAGAACTTTCCTCCCCATTCTCACTGGGAAACATTTCTGCAAAAATAATGTAAAACAAGTAATCCGAATGACGTCAGAATGAGTTTCCACACAGGCACTTGCTGTTTTTCTTGTTATGAGCCACTAGGAAGTAAACATCTGTTGACCGAGACTCCAAAGCCACTGACCTAGAATTTCACTCCAATTAGACAAACACCCAGGCTGAGATTTATGAGTTCCCTGTTTCTATGTAAACACTGTTGGATGTCCCAGAACCGTATTGATTAAAGCTGTGAGGCTCAATACACAAAACATTTCTTCACGAAAAATAAATTAAGAGTTTTCATAATTCACATAACTACGATCACTTCCCAGACTCTGATAAGATAATAATTTAATTTAACATGCAGTGTTGCATATTCCATCCTATACTATAAAAATTGATGCACTGAATTTAGCAGCTTTTTTAATCCTTTTTTTTTACCCTTTTCCCAAATCTCTCCATTCCTGCATGACGAGCATAATACCTGACCCTTTAAAATGGCTGGAGATCCTCCAAAGAGATTTTTGTCTTCTGCAGGACGTCAGAGTAGAGAAACAAGACATGGTTTTGACTAGAACTATGTGCTGCTTGTATCAAGAGTTCAATTACACCAACCGCACAAATCTTTCAAGTCCTGTGCTGCTCGCTTCTCATGGTACATCTCTCAGAAGCAGCAGCACCACATGGGGAGATCTTTAACGATAGCCCATGAAAATACGTGTTTTATTTATACAGGAACGAGTCGTACTGATCTGGTTTAAAATGGTCTCCTGTTGGGTTTAGTGTTTAAATCATACAATCTTTCTTTTAAATACAGATGAATGTTTTATGTAGCAAAACATCCAACCAATCAGGGTCTAACTTCTAACATGAAGCTTTAACAAATAATTTATACTGTATTGAAAAGGCCTTTGTTTGCATGTTTGATGTCAAAGCATTACACGTGACCTATTTATCAAATTGTATTATAAACATATATGTAAGTTATCCTTATGATCACTGGGTTATTAGGAAATGATGATGGTCTGCAGTCACAACAGCTCATTTCTCATTTGTTTTTCTGCTGCAGAAAATATTACAATCATGTTCTAGCTAAAGCATTAGAAAATGTTTTCCAGTACCCTGTCCTGAAGCTTGACAAATGAGGAATAAAACCAATCAATGCATAATTGTGAACCTCCGTAATGGCAAAGAACTGTAGCATATGTTCGAGTCCGTCATGCTTTTGAAATACTATATTGATTTTACCTCAAGCAGTCTGTGTTCTTGATACCCAAATCAACAAATTGTCTGTGGAGTTTGAAGGTTGAAATTAAAAGCATTTCTACATCCCCCAGGACCGCGCTCCGCACCCGCCTAACCGACGAACTGCCACCACCACTCTGACCGTGGACGTCCTGGACGGAGACGACCTGGGCCCCATGTTCCTGCCTTGCGTTTTGGTGAACAACACCCGTGACTGCAACCCCCTCACCTATCGTGTTGCCATCCCTGAATTCACTGAACCGGTAAGAACCAGGCAGACAGGCAACTGTGAGCACACCGCTGTTCCACAAGGTTGTTTTAACACAGTTCTTCCCGTCATTAGGATGTGCATTTTTGTATTTTGATGCACACAGGGTTGTTTTTTTTTCATCTCCAGTCATCCAAAGTGTGCGTGGGCTCTAATAATCTAGATTTCTGATACATTTGTTCAACAAATGTTAAACTACGCCAGCATGTTGAAAAGGCTAATTGTTGACTTACACCTTACACTTTACACCAGTGCAAGCTTTTGGTGTTGTGTCTCTGCATGGTTATTCCAAGGGTATTTTCCGGTCTGTTGGGCAAGCAATTAGAGCTGAAGGCTGGGTCGACCTGGGATGACAGCCAAACTCCACTGGAATTTATAGAAGAAAGAAAGAATAATAGAGAGAGAATTGAGATAAAGAGTCTGAGGTGGTGCACCAATGGAAATGCTATGTGTATCGATGAGCAATGTGTCTACTCTGTATTTCTTTTTATGACAAGATGTGAACTGATATCGACCGAACTGGTTTAAGATGAATTATTGCATTTGACTTTACTAGACTTAAGACAATCTCACATCAAGGTCACGTGAGTACCGTTCTTATGTCATATCACATTGATCGTGTCCAGATGATGGAGTCTGATCAGCTGTCATGGTACTGGGGATAGATAGTAAACTTTCCATTATTCAGACTACCACAAAAACTTCTTATTTAAGTTAATATTTTCACGGTTTATTCTTGACCTCTAAATAGGGCTCAATATTACATCCGTACACCATATCGTCATGGATTTTGTCAAATCGTAGTGGAGTTATGTATTTCTGATTTTAAAGGTTGCATTGATGTATTTTGTGAATGTAATCATATCCACTATCACTGGTAATAATTTATATAAAAAATAACGAGGGATATGTTGATATTTTATTTTCTCCATATTGCCCTGTCTTACCTTGGGAACTCCAATGGACAAACAATCTCAACTAAAAGTATATGTACTCCCTAGTTGTGGGCCTTTTAACTGTACAACGTTGCCCACACAGAAGCCTGGAATAATGAGACAACGGGAGATATTTGGTTTGGTTTCGGAAATTAAAGATTGTAGGCCCACAGAGTGAGAAGGGGAGCAGCCATAGTGTGTCACAATTGTTCGTCCAGACTTTCCTCTCAGAGTTTGTCCATGTATAATTTATGATAAAAGGTTTGCAGCCTGTTAAGTATGCAGGATCTGAGAACACCAGGTGGACAAACCAAAGCATTTTCAATTAGTGTAAGTGGCCCTTTTTCCAATTCTGCAACTGCAGACTGGTAAAACTGCATGGTTTCATCCTGCCAAAGCTTCCTTGCAATAAGGTCGGATGTTACATTGGTATTATACCCCTTTAATATGTATATTTATATACGGTTATATTACTTACTAGAATGTCTCCTCGTCACAGTTAGAGGATTTCCAAAATATTCTATGTGTATTAAGTCTGTTTTATGAGTCTTCAAAAGTTATCAGTCAGTTTTTTGTTGGTCTCTGATTTTTGTGCCTTCTGCAGTGTAACCATCATGCCAACATATCTGTCAATGGAGGGACTTTTCTTCTCATAATTGATGAGTGTATTGTAATTAATCACAATGACTAGACAGGCATTATTAAGTTGATCTGTATTTATTGTTTGCCCTGGGGGGGATATAATGTGGGCTCTGGAGTCCCCTTGATAATGACTGCTGGAGGAGGGTATTATAGCTAATCATCATTGTGCAGAGCTAGGGGGATTTGATTTAGCGCACCTTCAGACATTGTAAAAGCGAGAGGGCTGGTTAGGGAGGGGTATAAGGATTACTCCAGAGCTGAGGGATAAAAATGTGCCCCCCTCAGGGAGGGATTCTCCCTGCCAAAGAGCTGTTAGCCATGTGTCTGTCTATGCTAAGGATAGCATACTCACGCCTACTGTATCAGCCATATTGAGGCATTTTGAACGAAGAGCGGTTTTCTTAAAAGAGTTGCTGCAGATTATCTTCAATATGCAACTGCTGGACTATTTTATAAATTTGTATCTGAGAAATATATATATAGCATTGGCTTAGTAATCAAATATCCTAATAATTGGCTAGTGTGCTAATAAGTATTACTGGCTTCTTAAAGGATTTGGTTCTTTAATTAGATATCAGAAGGAGGGATGCACTGTTCAAAGTATTTCAGCACCAATACCTGGGTTCTGAGTAGATACCAATAATTAGTAAGCCTTATTCCTCAGTGTCAAAAATTGACTGAGATTATTCTCCTATGTGTAAGTCAACCTCAGGCCTGATTAAACCAGCTGACCATGGTCAGGTATTCATTGTCATTGTATTCAGTCTTTTAATACCCAATTGTAGCAGCTCCCCTCATCCCCTTCATGAAGCAGAAAGCAGTTTAATGAGCCAAGAAAAGAGCACAGTGAAGCTTCTCTGCAGCGCGGTATTCATCCGGAGGAGCACAGTTAAAGGCAATATACTGTACATGTCAGATTAGATTATACAGCAGCCAACATATTGATATACACTCGACACAATATGTTTTCCAAGGCTGATAATATTGCATCTGAGTGGAACGTTCCGTTTCGTTAGACACTTAAACGGCTGTTTCTGCATAATCATGCTCTAATAGCAGGCAATATCTGTGCAAACAACTTCACAGGCAACAGAAAATAAACATCTTTTCATTTGGTTGTCTTGCTGTGTGGTCGACTCGCTCTCGTCTCGTTGCAGAGCAAGCTGAACCCACTGAACGTGACCCCTGCAATCCGGGCGGTGGACATGGACAGAAACATACAGCCACCATCAGACAGACCTACAATTCTTTATTACATCCTGGTTGGTAGGTTCCCATTTATCCTGATCAATTTCAAACATGTGATGTTCTCTGGCTCGGTGGGTAAGCTGTGGCTTCACTTTTGGATTTCTGTTCTGCCGTATTTGATGGTATCGTTAAGTGCACTGAATCAAAATATGTGAATACCTATGTTCTTTATTGCAGGTCAGCCAGTCACATACCCAGCATTTTTCTCCCTAAATAAAACCACTGCAGAGCTGCGTGTCTTGCAGCCTATCAGCAGAGATTTATATCAAAGGTTCACTCTCATCATCAAGGTAAAAAATACCATACTGAATCAGTGTTATTTTTCTTTTTATCAGAGGTCACATGACATCACGCATGCCCCTCAAGATGTATTGTGTGACTTTGGGTTGAAACTGAACCAATTAAAAATGTACCATTTATTGTGTTTCATTTAGTGTATATATTTTTCAAAGACTTAAACATTTTAAAGTCATGTAAATCCTGCATTTACTGAACTAGGTGGAGCTTGATTGTCACAAAATAGAAACACCGCTGCTGCCTCTGCACATTCATTCTGTTTTTATATTATCAATATGCTTGTGCCACATCAAGTTGAACTTATCCTATATCTCAAAAACTTAAGCATGCACCCTCTCAGCCTAGATAACCTCGGGCCTGAAGGCCATTAACCTTATCTTTAGCTGCTTGGAGATTGGCTAGTGGAAAAGATGTTATGACTTATGGACTTAGCAGGAGGATCAGAGCAGAACCAGGGACTGCCTCAATGCTGCTGGTGCAGATGATCTTTCATTGCAGCCATCACTAACCTCCAGACACCTCTGAGCGCCGTGTAACCTGATCTGCTGTCTACTGGTATAGCTGGGGAGCAAAGAGATGAGAGGAAGAGCTGATTTCAACAAGAGGAAGAAGGAGAGCTGTGATTGATCATACGCAAGGCATTTTGCATGTCTTCGGGAGGATTGTGCGTAGCTGGGGGAGTGGAGACAGTTCAAAGGGGGAGCAGGAAAACACCAAGATAGATGGAGAGGTGTGTGTGTGTAGGGGAAGCGCTGGTTGAGCCTTATCTACCTTAGTCATGAAGAGGGGGGAGAATTGTTGCTCAGGGACTCCAAGGGGCAGTGGAGTGAGAATAATAATTTGGTGTTTTGAGAGGGCTCTGATGCAGCACAGTATGCGGTGCTCATAGCTAATGCTTTAGGAGAAAAGAGTGATGGAATGCAGCATCTCAGTCATTAAAAAAAAACACACATCTGTTTTTCTTCAAAAGTCCTGATCGATCCTGACAAAGCCAGAATGGCATGGATGAAATGAAGACAAGTGACAAAGACAGAGGGAGAAATAGGAAGAAAAAAAAAAAGATCCAGTATGACACTCGGATTGATGGAGTCAGGACAGCAACTCTAATGAACAAGTAATGAACGAGTTTTCAGAGCTGTCAATCTCCAGCAGATTCCTGTGTTGAATCTCTTCGGAGTGCAGGTCACTTAGCTCTGCCTCCTGTAAATACGCAATAAAGGGTCAAATCACCTGGGAACACTGTAAACCTACATCCCGTCTTCTCTCTCAGACAAAGTGTGTGTGTGTGTGTGTGTGTGTGTGTGTGTGTGTGTGTGTGTGTGTGTGTGTGTGTGTGTGTGTGTGTGTGTGTGTGTGTGTGTGTGTGTGTGTGTGTGTGTGTGTGTCAAAAAAGGAGCTGATAATCGCCAGGCACACAAACTTTGTCTGTCAACGACACCACTTTTCCCTCTGGTGTTTGTTTGTTGGAGCACATAGGATCTTTGGATCAGTGCAGTGCGGGTGTTCTTTATTATCACTCAGATAAGAGCAAAAAAAAGGCAAGATGTTGGGAAAAGGAGAGGCTGGCTTAACCTACAGATGCCAATACAAATATGAAATGGAGTGAAACTCAACCGGATGTGCAAGAACTGCACCAGAGTGAAGCAGGGCTCAACAATCCTATAATAAACAACAACAAGAGGAGAAAATACAGAGGTTTTTTTCTTCCCAGCACGTTACCGTTTAGCTGTAGAACCATGTTCTCCTGTTACAATCGGTTCCTTGCGACACAAGCCCAGGGAAAATATGCAGAATTAGTTCCAGGTCACGGCTAGAACTGATGTCGCCTCACTCCCCCTTTCCATCTGCATTTGCGACTCAAAGCCGGTGTGCGTATGCAGCATGTATGTGTGCGAGCCAATAGTGACATATGTGTGCAGGGAAACGATTGCAGTGACAGCCTGGACAGACCACATTCATTCATGCTTTTTTCTGAGTGTACAGCTCTGGAAATGTATGAGCAAGCTGGTACATTCGGTACATTGTGACCACAGTGACCATTCGTGTTTCTAGTATTGCGTAATGCTTCATAGATTAAGATTGTGTATTGATTATATGTAGTATATCTTGGAGAACAGCATATATTGGAGACTCTTCCTTGAGCAGATTCAATCTTGCTATTTATGTCAACTTGCAACGTGAAATTTGAAAAGATGTGTTTCACGGCTGGATGCTGCATTAACCTGCCGAAGAGCGGAAAAGGGTGTCAACTGGAATTTTATCATCTGGCTGTTTCGAAACGCACCGTTTTTGGCTCAGTTGAGAGTTCCTATAAGAAGTGCTAGCGCCCTCGTTTGTTTGGTCAATTCTGGCACTGACTCCCCAGGTGATATTTCCCTTGGCCATCATTGGAAGCCCACCAGACGCTGTAGCAAGAGCTACTAATTACTGTCTTACTGCCCGATAAATGATGGTGTTTGCGTTAAGTGCTCCGCTAATTGCTGTGGCCTAATCCAAAGTGGAACCCTGATTAGATTTGGTCAATGTAGCTTTTTGCAATTAGAACGACACGGGGAAATGATGTTTTTCTGTCCCTGCATAACTTTCATCATTCAAATCCCCCTAATAGCACTTGGTAATACATGTTGAGCAGTAAATGAACACTTGGCTTGTTGGTATTTGACTTTCTCTTTGCTCTTTTATTTCACAATTTTTTTTCCTTTCAGGCCGAACAGGACAACGGTCACCCCCTCCCATCCTACGCTGACCTCATTATCGAAATCCTGGATGAGAACAACCAGGCACCGTATTTCCAGTTTGTCACCTATCAGGGTTACGTGAGCGAGGCCTCCCCAGTGGGTACGACTATCTCAGCCAGTGCCAACCTCACGGCTCCGCTGGGAATCATCGCTCTGGATAACGACATTGAAGAGGTAGAAAGAATGAGCCTTTATCTGACCATGCTCACTGTACACATGTCCACCCATGCGTGTGTGTGTGCGTAAAAACACGAGGCAGTTGTAAGTGCATTGATTAAATATTGATCGACGGTCCACGTTTTTATTTATGTGTTTTTGTGCACTCACAAAAAGCAACACCCAAATGTGACTTTCTCCTGCTGTATTTTCCTCCTTGTTGTAGCTGGCTCCTGGTAATACACCTGTAGGTAAAAGGGGGTTGCTGCTACGGCGCAATCCCACACACGCACATACACAACGAGTGTGATTCACGGATGTCCCGAACAAGTTCTCTTCCATTTTTCCAAATCTCAAATTTGAGTCCCTTTCAATATTAAGTGTATTTTTGGCGGATTAATCAATTATTTATGTTTTCCTGCATAATAGAGCTGCACTCTGCACACTTGATGGCTTAAAGTGGGCCTCAATTTATGCCAGTAAAGCCAATTCAATTAAGTGTGACTGCTTAACAGCTCTTCATTAAACCAGCAATGCAACTTTCATTTGCTTCGTATAATATTCAATGCAAAGCGCCCTGCAATGTTTTGAGTAATATCTTTGGATTAAGACAACTTCTCTTTATTTATGAAAATAGAGAGGGAGAGAGAGAGAGAGTTGCCCAGTGATTTGCTTTGCATTGTTTCGAATCATGATTTTGATCCCTGGGGTGGAATGAGTTGCTCTACACTCAGGATAGTCTATGCTTTACCATTTAAAAGCCCTTTATCCGCTTCATTCACATTTTGAAAACTGACTCGGGACATCTCTGCTTTTAATTCATGCATCACTTTGCAAAAAGTGAAAATACACTTTGAAAGCCACCCATCACTGCTGGAGACCTCGGCCAAACTGTTGAGCTCCCCAATGTGGTCACAAACAGCAGAAACATGTTTACTGTTGCTTCCAAATCCAATAAACGTTGCACTAAATGCCCTGCAGCTGTCCGGCAATGATGGGTGTGTTCAGAAGGATCTAGCTGACTTTTCTACCCGAATGGGAGTGTGTGCTTGGAGTGTGTTGCTGTGCTGTGTCGGTTGTCTTTATATCCAGATGGGGGTTTTGCTGTGGTTTGTCCCAGAATTCTCTTTGGGTGCTCTTTCAAAAATAAATCATGAATGTATTTTTTTGCCGCGTAGTTAGATGAAATGTCTGTTTTGACAGATTGCTTTGACACATTTAACAAACGGTGTGAGGGTGTTTGGGTGTTTGTGTCACCAGCCACAGTGAATAACACATTGGATTCCTCTCCACCCCAACTGCTCTGATAGATTTATATCCTAATGGGTGGAAGCAAACAGTTGCACACGCAGTCAGAACAAATGACTACTACCTCTAGTCCATCTTTCAAACCATCCCTTCACTCCGTCTTTGGAGACGATTAACAAATCCAAGTGGAGTGGAAACGGAGATAACAAAAATCAATAACACACCCAGTCCTGATGTTTACGAAACTCTCTTAAGAGGACTCACCGATCGATGTGGATCGAAACTGACACCCAGCGTTGTTCCACTCCAGGCATATTTGTTTACACAAAATACACAACCACGGCAGTTACGACCAATCTTTAACAAAGCATATTTAAAGCAACAAAAAAAAATACACACGTTATGTTACAAAAGCTGTAAATCTCAAACCTTTTAACGACTGCTTGCTGTGGATGAAAATAACTCATGTAATTACCTTTTGTATTTTCTTCATTGAGACGTCATGTTAAGAAGACATTGCTTCTGTCCCCAGTTCTTACTCCGCTGTATGCTGAAGATTGATGAGGAACCTGCCGGCACATTACTCTCTCAAATCTTGGGCAGATCTTAATACACTGTTTGATAGGTGTTCTCGGGCCCATAGCTGCGGCTTGGGATGAAATGATGAAACGCTCGTGCCACCGTGGTAATGTATTTCTGTTTTTTTTCTATATCTTTCTGTTGGAAGACGAAAGACCCCATGGTTAGGATTACCCTGAATGACCACACCACGATCTTCAGCCTGACCCCAGCAGGGATAATCCGCTACCTTATGCTCATCAAACCTGTGGACCGGGAGAAGCAGATGGCCTACAGCTTCACGGTAGGTCACGGACTCGGTGGAACCTGAACTCGATCTGCAAGACAGCACTGCAGCCCCTCAACCTACATCCCCTGTGTATATTAATAGAAGTCTCAGGTCCGCTCTACACCAAGAGCCGCTAGGAGATACAAAGCTGACCTGACATTTTTAGAACAACATTACCTTCATAATGACTCAAATAGCAGTGACGTTAAACAGCCACTTAAAGTTATAAATATTGATCAGGGTAAACAAAATGTACCTCACACCTCTATAGCTTTAAACTTCCAGGTAACAAACAAGTACCTCATGTTATTCTTACATTACGCAATGTCGAGGTAGATACAATGGTTCAAGAAATCGTACTTCTAAGGACAAAGCGCAAGCAAAAGAACGCGTCTTCACCAGTTTGAGAACGCAAAGGGAAACTAAATTGAAAATAAATCACAAACAAGAGGAATACTTTCATTTCACAACAATAGAATGTCAGACCAATATTGAAAATAAATCAATCCTTTTTGAAGTTTCTCTTTTTTTATAACATTTTGCCTGAGTGATCCACATATTATTGGATGTATGAACCTGTTTAGCATTAGCCCGTTGAATAATTAATAGCTTTGTCTCTGTCCATCGCTGTTGTCTTCTTGATGCATTTAAAAAAAAAAGCGCTATCATGAATTTAACTACAAATGCTTTTATTCGATTTATTAGATTATTTTATGATTTGATTTGAATTTTATGATATGAATTGAGTTCATGTGGTACAAAGAGTCCTGAATTTCAAAAAAGGGCTGCGGAAAGAAATCCCAAGGCAACGGTCTTGTAGCAACTTTTAACAACCAACCTAGTTTGGTTCATAGTGTTTAACTGTATCTGATGGTCTTTTACGAAGTCCAACAGATCAGCAATATAGAATTAAAAAAGATTAAAGCCAGTTCTGCTGTGAAGGGATGTTTTTATGGAAAGTTTGATGATTATAGTCATAATAAGTTCAAAGCCCACAATAATTGCCACAATTTTATACAGATACATACATTACGCATTGTTTCATCCACCTTGCTCACAAAATTCATCAATCACATTTTCATGGAGCAAATGCTACACAAGCTTGTAACAAAATAGCTATTTTATGTATTTTGTAATAGTATTTTGAGTTAATAATCCAAATGGCCTATATTACCAGATATGACAAGTGACTGCAGTGCTTTCTAAAGAATATAATGTCATAGTGGCTCTGAAGGTTGTGCTACGGCCATCTGAATATGTTATTTCAGAGAAATATTGCATTAATGCTGGCATCAAATCAAATTGACTGTTTGTGGGCGTGGTAGAGAAGGATCAGCAGGCAGGCTGTACATACTGTTGCAATGAATCCAAGTGCATTTTCTCTATTAGCTTCTAAAAATGTCCTGGCGTCTCTTTCGACGGGTTGGCTGGAGAACAGACAAACTGTTTGATGGTAGAGGAAGTATACTTCATGTGTTTCTGTGAGACACCTTCACTGGGGAATGTGTGTCTGCTACTGAAGGCTCCGTCCTGATGTTCTACCGGTCTGTTGTGTGCTCATTGCCTGCTGGGGGAGCAGCTTTGGAGCTGATCCATATTGGATAACCCCGGGCCCCCCCACTCCCCCACCTACTGCAGGCACAACAGAGCACCTTCTCCAACAGGATGATCCGGCGCTGCCGTCGCAAGGACAAATACAGGAAAACATTCCTACCGACTCAAAAGTGACTTCACAACAGATCCACCTCTGGCTAAATCCTTGTTTAATTGAACCATTATCGATAATCATTCAACCGCTAATCTGCTCATTTAATTTAATGTAATACTTATTGCACTCCTATTTCACTAAATATACCATATATACTCACATACACTGTATATAGCTTGTATTATGTGCACTTATTTTCTATTTCATTTCTTAAATGTACTTTAATATGTTCTCCGCTGTTGTTATCTTGTGCTACGGAATACTTTTTGTTTACTGCGTAACCTTACTTGCTGCTGCCACACACACACTTCCCCCTGGGGATGAATAAAGTACACATCTGTCTATGTACAGCGTGAGCAGAAAACGCTGCAAATGTGCCAATGTTTGTGGAAAAGCCATTTCCCCAACAGAAACATGTATTTCTTGCTGCTGCCTCAGTTGTTGTTTCTACAATGCATTCGTTGTTCAACTAAGTCCATTTTCTTTCTCCCTGCCAAGTCCAGGAGATCAGAGCTGGCGAGGACAAATGAACATGCAGTTTGCTCAGTTTGCAAAACTATCCTTCAGCTTTATGCTGCACAAGATGTCTCTTTAAAAGGCACTTCCAATTAGGCATATCAAATATGAACAGTGTAAAAGTGTAACTGAAGTCATGACGCCGGTAGAAGCAAGTAGCAGCTTGACCCGTTGTCTTATCAAACAAAACAGCCCTGAAAGCATAAACCTGAAAAATCAGCTCCCTGTGATTTTAGACTTCGCTTACTTATCTCCAGTTTCTAAAGCTACAATATGTATTCTCTTTCTCGTGTTCACAGATGGTGGCGTCAGATGGCATCCAGCAAAGTATCCCAGTCACTGTCAACATCCTGGTCATTGACGCAAATGACAATACGCCCACGTTTGCCGAGGTCTCCTACAGCATTGAGGTCTTCACAGACATGCAGCCGGGGGAGACGGTGCTACAGGTAATCAATCCAACAATCGTTCTCTTTCCTTTCGTCTTGTGCTCCGCCGTTCGGCTTTTACGCCTCCGTCTTTGTGTGATTCCGTCACACACACACACACACATTCTTTTGTTTCCGAAATAAATAACCGCAACGATCCGGCGCCCAATTACAGTTCCCTTGGTCTCATCTGCAGTCGTGACAGGGGAGTCAGAGTGTTCCTCTCTCGATCCATAATGCTCAGGCATTGGAGACGTTTCACCCAGCAGAACAGCTGCTCTCATGACTGAACTAATTGTGGGTTTTTGTTTTGTCAAGGATGAACATTTATCAGTCTTTACCTTTTGGATTAAAATCATTTCAACAGCCAGAAGCATTACTATGTAAAGTATTAGGCTCATTGTTTGCTTGACTTTATTAAAACAACATAGACACGCACATACACATTCTAAAACCAACTGAAGCAGGCTTTTATCTACATGCACAGGACACATGTAAGGATTTGTAATTTTGAGTCGTCAAAATGGAAATCCACAACCCCGTGTGGCGATCTATTAGTGTGGAGCTCTGTGCTTTCATTGTTTTCTCTTATTTAGCAGTTGCAGCGTGATCTTTTTGTCCTTTAGTCGATCTGTCATCTCGGCACAGCTTCTCCAAAAAAAATGTCAGAGCCTGAAAAGGTCAAGTTTGATCTGAAAAAAAAAAAATCAGCTGTTGTGCTTTCCCTGAAATGAGACCAGGGGGTCGCGGGGTGTCTGGTATGACCGCTTAACCGCTCTTCATGAGCATTTTATCCGAGCCAAAGGCCTCAGGAGGATTCTGCTGCTTACTCGATGCTCCGGCTTTTGGTCCGACGTCAGGAGTATGAAAGAGCCCTGGGCATAAAAGTTTCAAGGCCCTAAAGATGAGAAGCCGACTACACCAGAGTTTATAATTACAAGCAGCGGGATGTCCTAAATAATGGTTTTGATGTAAATTGTGGCTGCTTAATTCATTTTCTGAAAGTCTGTGCAAGGAATTTATATGTATTCATGTTATGCGTTCTTCATCTTCAGAAGATGTCGTCACAGATCTTTGTGATCGCTCTTATATGAAAGGTAGCAGGTAATTGAATCCGTTCCGTACAAAGTTTAAAGTGTAATCACCAAGGTTTTGAGGACATTGCAACCAGTAGAAGATATTTGGTCAGATGGCAAGTCAGTATTCTGTGTACTTTCAGCTAAATGCCAACCAATTGTCCCCATCTTCACATGAAACAAAGGTCATTTTTCCATTGGTTAACAACAGGGCACCAAAATGGATTCTACTGTGAGCTGGCAGCGTGACTGAAGTCACTCACAACCCCCTATGGAGAAATGTTTGACTGGCTCAGTAAGCATGTAGATGTCAACTGTGCAGAACTCCACCGCGCCAAACTACAAGGTTTCAACAAAGCATCAACATACTATAATTTCTATACCTCTCTGTCTCTCCCCCTCATCCTTTCAGTTAACAGCAGCAGACGCTGACGAGGGACTGAATGGTCTGGTGACCTATGAGATACTGGCCGGTGCCCAGGGACATTTCATCATTAGCAATCGCACTGGACGCATCACTGTGGCGCCGGGTGTCACTCTAACGGTGGGACGATCTTACGCACTCACTGTCAAGGCCTCTGACAACGCACCAGAGACCCAGAGGAGGTATTCAACGGCACTCCTCTTCTTTTGTTGGATTTCTTTGCAAACTAAAAACATGTCTCATAGAATGACTATGTCTTCCTCCAGTGTGACGTGCAGTTAATTACTGAATTTTCTGTAGCAGAAAGCATGTTGGTTCTGGTGGTACCAGCAAGTGTTGTTTACAAGTCTTCGATTTGTGTTAATACACACTAATGCGCAAGAAGAAAAACGACAAACTCAAAGTGTGAAGCTTTGTAGTTGGCGGTAGAATTGGAGGCCTCTTTGATTTCACCAGGCAAGGCAAAGCCTGGCAAAGACACATTTTAACGGGATTAAAACACACTGCTGAAGCCTTTGGGTAGTAGGTTTTGATGATGATGCAATTTACTTGATTACAAAATGATTAGTGCACTTGTCAATCATTGTTTAGTGAATGTAACTGCATTGCAGTTGGACAAAATAGGTCCTACACAATGAATGAGAAACCAATAAACCTTCTCGGTTTACTGCATATTTACAACCTAGAACAATCAGGCAAATTTTAAGCAAGCTGAATAAACAAATTGTGAATAAAAGGATATCCCAAGTGAATGCTACCAAAACCTCCTTTCAGTTTTTTTCTTCTCTTTTCAATCCCAGTTCTGAAATTATGAACATGTTTTACTGTGATGTGGGCAAGGTACTCGAGTCGGGCTCAACGCTCTGTAATGGTGCTTTCAGAGGGCTGATGTGGGCTTTTCTCTCCACCAGGAGCTCCATCACTACAGTGTACATTGAGGTTTTGCCTCCCAACAACCAAAGCCCCCCACGTTTCCCCCTGCTCACCTACAACCTGGAAATCAGCGAGGCCATGAGGATTGGGGCTATTCTGCTCAATCTGCAGGTGAGTCACTAACAAGAAACCACACAGACACACACACACACAGACAGACAAGGCCAATGCAGATAACAAAGCCTTGAATTGAATTGAATTGAATATGATGCTGCGGTTTTGTGACATATTTAATACTTTAATGTACATTGCAGTTTCAGGCAGCGACACAGTTCTCAAACATATTTACAGCTTACAATATGCTCACCTTCACTGCAGTCCAGCATCTTGGTTTCTGAGCTAGCATATCTCGTAGCCTTCAACTTTAATGGCACCATTTTATCTTCAAGATCCTGCTTTCCCTCTCCTTTCCCAGGCCACGGACAGAGAAAACGATCCAATTACGTACCGCATTGTGAGTGGAGATTCCCAGAAGGTCTTTAACCTCTCTGAAACGTAAGTCCAGATATTCTTCAAGTACACGCGGGCCATAGAAAGTATTCATAGGAGGTATTCTCACCAAGGACCACTTGAAATACAAAAAAACTGTTGAGTGTTTATCTAGATGGATGGCAAGGCTCGTGGATGAATAATGTATAAAAGAATACAGAATAGGCAATAGGAGTCTCCGTGGTTTTCTTAACAACACAGGTTACAGTAGGTGAACTGAATATTTTTTTCGGTTTGAATGTGGGTGTCTATATATCGAATTCCCCACCCGTCTCCCAATTGCATTTTGAACAGCAGGGCTGCGTCGAGATGTGTGGATGGATGGCAAATTGCTTCGTTACATTGAAGTCCAGCTAACACAGCAAACCCCAACTGTTTTTATTTTTATGACAACATTTCAGCAAGGGTACTTCTTCAAACTCGGACAAGTTGAAAGGTTAGTCAGGTTATTTAACAACAAGACAAAGCCGTTGTGTAAAATGGCCGCGATCGCGAGGACAATTCAGCTAAAAGTCTTTGATAAGCTTTTGAGTTTCATGTTGTTCTCTCAAGTGCAAAGGGAGCACATAGACACACAGAAGTGATACGTTGTAGCACAACGTCGACTGTGCTGGCAACAGAAGAGGCCCTTGAGACAGAAGAAGCCGGGTCCGACCATCATCATTAGCTTCCCTGTGATGATATCTGCCAGTGCGAGTGATGGTGGTGGGAATGAGAGGAGAAGGGACTGTGATGGTAGGGAGTAGATGCTGACTTGCCTGGTATTGGTTTTGGCTGATTTATTGGCCAATACATGACTTTGTTTTATGAAGGCACCATCAAGACTCCTAATGAGCCAAGTTGAAAAATAAAAGCGCACATTTGCTTTAAAAGGATGTACAATCTGTGTTGCGGGAAGAAAAAAGGGAGAAACCTCAGAAATAGAAAAAAAGGAGGTCCAATAACATGAACATTAGACATACGTTTTTATCCAGTGAGGGAGATTAGGTCAATGCTACTAGAAGCTTAAAGGCAGAGATGACCAGAAGCTCATAAGAACTTGAAAAAATACATACAAATGAATCAGGATACAACTTCATTTGCTGGAAAGTTCTATTTAGGTCTTCTTTCCTCATTCTATGCAGCGCAGTTTCATTCTCAGCCATCTCTCAAATGATGTGGCATGAAACGTTAAATATTTCTGGGGAAGGAAATTCACCAAAAATATCTTACCTTGTGTATCATAATCAAAATCAGTATTTATAAAAAAACTAAACGCTCAGCCATTCGTCAGAAGTGAGATAAAGTCGTAAAATATTAAAGTCATCTATGGCTTTTTTTTACCATCAAATAAGCAAGCTAACATGGAGGGAAGAGCTGTGGGGAAACTGAAATGCAGGATCCTGCCAGACACGTTTGTGACTAATCGATTAAAGACACTTTTCTCTGCATCATCAGTCTCCCAAACCCCAAGAAAAGAACAGGCAGCAGCAGTGTTTATCCTCCGCTGCTCCAGTGTTAAAAAAGTTTGTCTTACGGAGGCATGTTTACTCTATGGCTCCATCCTTTTAACGGCAAACTGTCATATGATCAAATAATGGGAGGCTGTGATTACTGCCGTTGCTGCAGTAATTTGTAACAGAAAGATAAACCTCCTGCAGTACAGTTCTCTGCATGGCATAAATACTACAACTGCATCACAAGCTCTTAGCAACCTAGCAATTTAATACTGTCAAGCAGGTGCTGATTTAGCATATGATGCGTCAAAGAATGATGAGCTGGGAGAAGGTGTGGAGGGGGCGGGGGCCTACATGAGTGTGCAGTATACAAAGCCCTTCTTCCTGTCTCATTTTTTAACCGTCAGAACGTATATGATGAATATGATTCAGTGGAGAGATTTTCGCGTTTTGCTGCATGCTCGGGATTCGAGCTCCATATGGCGCTGGCTCGATGCAGCCACTATGAATGATGAGCTCTCAAGTCGATAACGTCTTATAGATGGGGAAGGATCTTCCGAGGCGAGAGGTCGTGCTGCTTCACATTCACTCTCCATAATGGAAGCGAGCCGAGCTCACCGTGAGTCATTGTCTCCTATACGGACAGCCTTTAGTGGGGACATGCTAAGTAGAAGGCCACAACCGCTTCACAGTATGATGTGTTTTTAAGTCTTTTTAATAAAATCCCAGGTCTCACATCTTCAGTAACATGAATATTATAACCAAAATAGATCATGATCAAAATTTTGAGCAAACTAGATGTATATACATATATATATATATATATATATATATATATATATATATATATATATATATATATATATGGCCTATATAGGCCTTTGCAGATGTATTGGCATTGGAGTATATGTCTGCTGATAATTAAAAAAGTTAATGTATGAATGTTTTTTCAAGTTATTTTGAAATACGGTCTGACTTTCATAGTTTGTCTAGATACAAAGTTAACAGGAAATACAGATAGGCATAAATCCGGGGCTGTATTAGCTTAAAGGAGATATATAGGAATTAGTGTATATTTTAGTCTATAAGTAAAATAAGAAAGAACCAGCAGTATAGAAATGCCAAACTTATGTAATTAATGTCATCATTAACATTTTTACACTAAAGGGATCTTTCTTTGTCACATTTCTTTTTAAATAAAATAATATGCAATCTGCATCAATGTTTATGTTTTTCAAAAATATACATTTCAGTAACACCTTCAAAACTCCAGCCAGTTGGCCTTTAATGAGCAGATTGTGTTACTATTCATTATTATTAATGATAGCATCCACTTTGAAGCCCAGGCCTTTTTTTACCACCTCAAAGTCTCAAAAGCCTAAATGCCACGCCATTTTCTCTTCTGAAGTATCCAATTGGCAGCTGATTGTTCAGTTAGCAGCCAATGTTCCTTCTTCATAGATAAATTGAAACTGAAATTGAAAAAGAGTACAAAGTAGAAGAAGGTGAACGTTTTTTAGAGCCCCGGGAAACCAAACACTGCACATTCAGTTCTGATTAAATTGACTCAAAACAAGGGTTTTAAATCACACACATTTGAGATTTGGAACATGTTTAACAGATTTGTCTTGAAACCCCTTGAGGAATAGCTGAAGTTTATCTCATAAAGAAGTAATTCACTGCTGGATGAATCGTCTTTTCATAAAATAAGACCGTGTGTGGCACATATTAATGTTTTATAATTGGCACTGCTCTTTAAAGTTGGATTCAGCAACTTCTTCCGAAAGAAACGTGCCTCTGTGAAGTTTGCCGCCACGCAGCAACCACTTCTGTTTCCAGCAGTGCCGACTCATCGCAGCGGCACCGCGACATGTCCTCCTGCACCGCGATTCTCTCCGACTGCCACTGCGAGACTGCTGGTGGCGACGTCTTCCTCCTACGAACGCCTCATTTCCCCTTGTTCTGTACTCGCGGCTTCAATACCACTACCTGAATCCAGCACCTTCATATCAAAAACGGCAAACATCGTTAGCGATTGAAACAAGTTTCGTGTCTGAGGTTATGCCACCTCACACTACCGTCCCGTACCCGGAGTCCAACTGTTCAGCCTTTAGGGATCTAAGCGGAATGAGAGAGCGATTTGGTGTGACTGCGATGGATAGCCTCTAAGCTGCACCATTCTCGCTCTGGACAGGGCTGTTAACGGCACCCTGTCAGGCTGACAACCTCTTCTCATTTGCGGTGGCTCGAGAGAAGAGGCAGGACGTTATCGCACATGATCAGTCAACCTCCCAGACCCGGCCGCTGAAGTGTAGTTCAGCACTCCAGCTGTAGTAGGGAACAAACTCCCCACGCTAACTAAGAGGCATTAATCATTCTAATCTGTCTTATCGTCAGCGTCAAGATCATCATCATTATCCCTGCAATATGACAGTTATCTCTTAATATCTTCCCTATTATATTCACAGCGATGAACCCTTTACCTTTTGCTTATTGAGCACAGAGTGGCCTATTTTCCACCGGCATGCTCACGCGTAAATAAACATGAGCCCAGTGGCCAGGGAAGGATGGTGTGTTGCATATTCATTGTGTTTTTTAAAAAGGCATTTGCCCTCTCAGACCCCCTATCATCATAACTTGGTGTGGTGGTGTTTTGAGAAATAGAAAATTTGTTGTTTGCGTTATTTTCCCGTCAGATTTTTAAGATGAAGCTGTACGGTTTGACGGGTATGAGCCACAGAGGCGGCAATGACGCAGCAGTCAGGTTCTACTTGCACTGTTTGGCCAAATAAGCTTTTAATTAGAGCCGTGAAGGAGCAAAGGGTCAGCAGGGAATTGCAACAGGCATTAATCTTGCATCGTGCATTTCAATGTCTGTGTTCTTCCTTCCTTCCTTCCATCTGTGGTTCTGGCCTCCCCTGAGTGTGGCTGGGAATTTGCTGTGTGTGCGTGTTAAGGCCCTTGCACCCACGTTCCTCGTGTGCCTGTGTGTGCAAACAAAGATAATCCAGCCTTCTGCTTGGGAATGCATCCACACTTTGCGTCTGGCGTGTGCCAAGTTATGCATCGGGAACGTGCAGGAGGGTCGCTGTCTCTGCCGCCGTCTTTGGAAAGGAAACATGAATCTTTCTGTCTGTAGTCCACATGCTTTGGGAGCAAGAGGCAGGCTGCTGAGAGAGAAAGATAGAACGGGAGCATTTAAAAGCCCACCTGCTCTAAGCCAAAAGCCTGTCCTCCTCTTGCAGCGGTCTGTTGAGTGAGCGATAAAGAATTAAAAACCTTTGTACAAATGTCTTTAAGTCAACGCTTTTTCTTCATTAGAAACAAACAAGCAATGTGTGAGCAATAAAGGGCTCCACACAGAGCCCTTTATTGTGTTTCTATTTGGGATATTGATGCATTAATGGCTCCAGTTGTCACTATGTAATAACAATACAATTGTGTCCTCCGAACCCTCTCTGCAGGATTGGCCTGCTGCTTCTGAGACAGCCTCTGGACAGAGAGAACACCGACCAGTACCTTCTGGTTGTCACCGCCTCCGATGGGAACCCTGGAGGGGTGAGGCCCAACCCTCTTTATTAAACATTTGGCTTGAGTCCGCATGGTCTGCATGGTCGTCAAACTTTAAGCTCAAATAAGATCTTCACATACAAGCATGATGGTTTAGATTATGTTTAACTACACATGTTAGCATAATTTGAGAATAAGAGCAAGATAAATGCACGGATATCAAACCAGTGGAAATGTAGCCAAATGTTTAGGGAGTACAATTATATATGGTTATGATTATACATATATATTTTTGTTTTACTCATGCACTTTAATTTGATCTTAGTAGTACTATCCATAATTGGTGGAGCTTCCCTTTATTGAACTGATGCCCATAAGATGTCACCATGTGACTTTTGAGCGTTTGCATTCACAGAGCTGTCGCTGTAACTTATCTTTGGGAAACAACGCTGGCTGGTCCATCTCCCACCAAGAGCAGATAAACACTCTTAATTGACTTGGACTCCACCTTAGTTGGTTCAGTTCTCACAGCTGCCTCTTTGCCAGCCAGAGGTGAAAGGTGGTTTGCTTTTTTAAGATGCAGTGTGATAGGTAATGAACATTAGCTGATGAGCTGTCACATTAGTGATGTCTCACTTGTGCATGCACAAACGTTCTGAACTGCAGCTGCGTTGGCAGTCTACGTCTGTGAGTGAGACGGAGCTGTGGAAGGATCACGCTGTCGGTGTGTGTGTGTGTGTGTGTGTGTGTGTGTGTGTGTCACAGTTTACGTGAGGGCCGCACAGCTGTGGGAGTGCAAAGTGAGCCGGTTAGAATGTGTGGGGCAGAAGAGATGGAAAGTGACTGGTAAGAGAAAGAAAAGAGACAATGAAATAAGAGAGTGTAATGTGCGGCATCACATCGCGGAATAAACTAACTGCAAGCTAGCGCTCTTTGTCTTAATATTAATGGACAGATTGTATAAGCAACTCCCTTTACCTTTATAGCGTGTGTGTGTGTGTGTGTGTGTGTGTGTGTGGGTGTGTGTGTGAAGCATCTCGTCCACGGGGTAAATTACTGTCCGACGTGTGTGCGCTTTATGTCACAGCCAGGCAGAAATGCTGTCACAACAGCACAACAGGGAGGAAGTGGAGTGACTGAGATGGGTAAAGGGGATGGGGGGAGGGTTGGAAGTGAGGGACTCATTCAGCAAGACAAAGTGCCGCAAGGAAGGCTTGAGACAGGGAAACGATCAAAATAAGTACAGGACGAGGCCACCGAGAGGAGAGAGGGGGACGCCCGGGATTTGGATGTGTAATTAGCGCTGCACTTTAGTAACCATGGAAACCTGACACGGAGAGGGAGGCAGGCCCCGGTGCTCTTTGAGTATTGTCGAATCTGCACTCTGAGGCTTCAGCAGTCAATTATTTTAGGGATGTAGTATTCTACAGATTATTCCATATACTATTTGAGAATGTACATAAATGTACAACAAGGTTGCAATAAGGCACTTGTTGTCTTTTGCTGGATTTGAACTGTTACTTCAAGGAGGACATTGATCTAATCTCCATGGCCAATTCAACATTTATATTCTTAAAAGAGCAAGCTGTAATCATTACCATCAAGGAGCATCAGATCCAAGAAGGGGGGGAAGGGGGGGCGGGGGGGGGGGGGTGAAGCCGTCTCTCTTGCCCTTAAAGAAGCGACTACATAACCCGATCACATCAGTCCCTGCAACATGGCTTCTGAACAAGGTTGTCACTTGAAAGGCAAAAGCATCATCAGCCACCTCTATTCCTTTTAGACAGTGAGGACAGAAGACGAGACTGCTACATCTAATTTATGTTAAATAAATAATAGCAGCTCATTAATCACACTCCTTGTCAGAGAGGTTGGCTTTTTTAGGCTTTGATAACAACACCCCCGCCAGAATGGAGATGCTAATTGGGTTTCGGTCCTCTGTGAAATTGAAAATGAGGCGATCCCATCACTACACTCATACTGGTGAGCGGCGTCCTCTTGTATCCAGGTGCAGAGGCATCCAGGGTGATGGTTCTCAGCGTGGGCTTCCATGCCACGTGTTGTCCGAAAGGACGGATTCATATACGTCTCAGAAGCTTGAATAAAGAAAGCAACAATGGTGTAGGAATTCTCCACAGACGGGGGACATTGGGTCGTTTCATTTGTGACATTGCTACTCGGCGTCTCGACTTCAAGGGTTTCTTCAGACGGCTGTCTTACCAACTCCTAATTCCACCCGTCCTCCCCCAGTGTCGACCATTAACGGCATCATTTGCATGTAGCTTCTTCTCAGTTCACTCAGCATTTATATAATACACAGATTCAACCATTTTTCTACGTTGATTTATGGGAGTGCAGTAGGTGCGTGCATTGTGTTATTGGATCAAGGTTACCAGTAGATGCCGGGGGAATTTTCTTTGCCCAATGAGCTTTGAGATAAAACAAACCCGGCACATTATTCATGACAAACACAAAATCGTTTAATTCAGTGTAAACATGAGTAGAATATGGTCAATGACATGCTCCAATGCCGTAAAAAAGTGTTCTCAATTCTTCAGAGGAAGGAAGATGTGATGGATCTAATCTGATGTTTCTATGCCCCAGATACTGGCTCCCCCAATCTTACAACATTTTGCAGTTTGCTCTAAATAACTATCACCAAAGCATCTACTCCAACAGTGAAGTATTTGGTCAATACACCCAGGATTAGTGCACCATTTGTTTCTGCAAACAAAGAATATGTGTCAGCAATCAAATTGAATTTCATATTACTGATAGAATGCAAGTAATTGTAGGTGTATTGTTCTGTACATTAAATAGCTGTATTATTCATCATTCATTATTCATTCATGGTGATATCAGTAATATGATAAAACAAACAAAACTAAGAGCCTCTGATTGGGATAACCTCACAAATTTGAGAAGATGATGCTGTAGACAAATAGTCAGGAGATCACCAAACTGTAAGACTCCTCCACTTAAACGTGGATGATCTGTGCTAAATATCATGGCAATCCATCCAATGTTATAATCACATCTGATCCGATGTAGTTCATGTGAAATTCACAAAAGCTTCATCGTCTGTAGATCAACATACAGCCATAGTATCGGCTGACAATATAATTTGCAGGAAGTGTGACCAGCCGGAATGACCATGTCCCTGTTGATAGGGTAGTTGTCCCTAGTGTTTCAATTGTTATAGCGTACTCTTGCTGTGACAACATAAAGTTGATTTAGTCATTGCTTTTCGAATTTAAGCGGAAAAAAGCTGTAGAAGTAGTGACGGCTGAAAGGGATCTGAGCCAAAATAGCATAAACCAGCACCAGGGACATCAGCCTACAGAGTATACGTTGGTTAGAAATAAACAGTGTACACTATATTTAAAAGTATTACTTCACAAAGGAACATTGTGTGGGATTTTTCTTTTATTGTGGTCTTTTTTATTCTTCCTTTAGACATCGACTGCTACTGTGAACATAGTCATCACTGATGTCAACGATAATGACCCCGTGTTTGACCTGACCATACCCACTAATTTTACTGTCCAAGAAGAAAAGGCCAATGTTTTTGTTGGACAAGTCAGGGTAAGTTTGATATCTTTGTTTTTCTTTTCAATTTGGTTGGACAGATTTGTCACACCCGAAACTGCATTCTGTTCCCATGATTCAGCACAACTGAGCTGCCAGACTTTTGTAATTACTTTTAGATTAATTGACCTGGTGTTTGTCAGTGAATTACTCATGAAAAGATCATAAAAGTCATACTCTGCACATACAGTGCTCCCTTGCAAAGTGTCCAATAAGGCAAATACAATCCAGGGGTCTGGTTCTTGTTTATTGTCTCTTATCTTTCAAACATAATAGTGAAGCTAAATCCCCAAATCTTTTCTAAAGTCAGGGTTTTGAAACATAATTTTGAAGCTCAATACAGATAAACCTTAGTTTCAAAACTGTGAAGAGACATTTAGGTGGTTTGGGAGATACATACTGAGTTTTTACATTTATGTTGTTAAAGAGTTTGTTTTGAATTTGAAGGTTGTCATTGATGCAGGTTATAACAGAAATATGTAGAATAACATCTTCATCTTGCTCATCATTTTAGGTAGATTTAGATTTAGGTAAATTTCAAAGTTTTATTTTTCAAAAAGCTTAACTATGAATGCTTTGGCTTCAGAAACTTACATGTGTATTTTCTTCCATTCCTTGTCATGTCCCCGTAGTTGCTTATATGAGTAACATGTGTTGCTTTTCAGGATATATGTTCTGACATTAGGCATCCCATAAAAAAAAAAATATATATATATATATATATATATATATATATATATATATAGGGAGGTAATGAAATAGACCACCAGAAAACATTGCAGAGTTTATGAACTGTGAAATAAGACAAAAGGACACGTGAAGGAAGCCTGGTGTTAGAATGAGGTAAAGCTCATATTTTCCTCACAAATGCAGCCAGCAGTGAGATTAGAGTTTAGCCCGCACCTCCCCCTCTCTCTCTCTCTCTCTCTCTCTCTATCTCTCTATTTGTCTCTCTCACCTATTCTGCTTTGGGGGGTTTTCTCAGCTGTTACCTTGCCAACCCGAGCTGATAGTGTTTTTATGGGACATTAAGTACCACAGCACAACACAATCCTGCTTTCCCTATGCAGATGCACCTTGAGAACCTACAATTTAACCGGTGGTGGATTTATCTGTTTTATAAAATCTCAAGTACTAAGAACAAGCCCATAAACAAAGGTATTGTCGACAAACATATTGAATAGTGATGAATAGTGATCAACCGATTCCATATTATGACAATACCGGTTGGACATACTGTTTACTCTTTTTTGTCCTCAGTCATGGTGATGATTTTGTTTTGAAAAGTTGTGCTGTTCTGGGAAAATGTCTTTGTAAATAGGTGGATATTGTTTATACATAAACAAAGGAGGACATGTTATAGCTCACTTTAACTCTTTGGACTCTGGAGAAAAAAAAGTTGTTTTAGAAATCTTTTAGCAGCATCTTTATACAACAGCCCAAAAGTCTCTATAATATAAGGTTTTCTATCACAAATTCAATGTTCCACCTTCATAGTCTCCCTGGGATACTTAAAAAATCAATTAATGACTTGTGTCTATCCTTTACATTGTCTTGCCAATCGACGATATTCTCTCAAATGCCACTTTTCTGTCCGAAAAATGTATTGAAAAATACATTTCAATTGTCTGTGAGGATCCATTAACTCTTTATTTCATGCTATTTTTACCTATTTTTTGGTTCATATCCCATTCTCGTGGATGTTGGTTAGATGTGTTTGTAGGCCTTTAGTGAAGCACAAAGACCTGCCTTGTTTCAAAAGGTGCTAAAGGAAAAGCAAATATCTTCTAATTAAATGAGAAATGCTGACATATCAAAACTTTTCAAAACTAGATTTCATTCCACGTTGAATGCTGAACTGAATTATCGTATCTGACGGCCAAGTGAAGGGACAGAATAAACAACCTACTACTGTCGCCTATTTCTTGTATATTTGGGTTTGTCCACTTTGTATGGTGCTTTCATGCTGGAGAGACGATTTCCTCATTTTCGATGGCAGGAGCATTTACTTTAAGATATCGCGATAACAACACAGTGTTTGAGGATATCATGCTCTTCAGGATGAGGCTTCAAAACGAGATTACACTTGAGCTGCAACAGAGACCATTTTTACGTACATTTTTTAAGTGTTTGTGTGTTTATGTATTTGCAGGCGAGGTGCGAGGTCATTTATGAAACAAAGGTTCTTGGTGGAGTAAATGACACAATTAAAAGCCATAAAGTCATGTGTCCTTGAGATTTAAAGTGCCAAAAACAATGTATATAAAAATCAATTTCTTAATCCCATTTTCACATTGTTTTTTAGTCTCTATTATCCTCAGTATATCACCCACAATAGAGTCCCCCTCTCATATTTCTCTCTGAACCCGCAGAGTTCGGGAGAGAAGTAGCGGAACCGAGCCAGACACCGTTAATGATGCTATGAATTTGTGGTACCGGTGTGTGCGTTCCTAATTTGTCACTCCAATTTGCCGGAGCGCTGTTGGAATACGGTTTGGACTCCTGTTGCAGCAGAGCAGAGAGCCAAATGCAGTGATTGCATGATGAACAACTAAAATCACACGGACATTTGTTCCTATCACAGCGTTAGCCACCGGCTGATTGTTGTGATGTGACGCTGTGTAAAAGTCAAGCGGCAGATGGAGGAATGGATGAGATGCAGGCAGCTTGAATTAAGATGTGATTTGTGTATTCCGCGTCAACGTGTAAATGTGACATGACACTGTAAAATCGGTTGACTTTTTTCTTGTAGCAGCAGCTTGAGCGTCCCTGCAGAGAGGGAATAATATCTCAGTCACCCACAAAGCTTCCGGCAGTTGCCGACGGTGAAGAGGACAGCAGTGCAAATGCAAAACGTTATTAAGTAGCATAATGCTATCCCTGAAGCGTTGTGGATTAAAGTTACGGTAACTGGTTCGCACCTGGTCTTATTTTACACACACTCCCAGAGACTGGAGACTTAACTCGGTTATGAAAATTGACAGCAATGCAGCTTGTGCTAATAGAGTCATTTGTTCCGTGACTGACATATCCTCGACCGAACGGGCCCATTCTGTCCGCTCACAGCGGGGAGCCTCAATCTGAGCAGGTGGATCGATTAGCATTCATGTTAGACGTATCAGGGAAGCATCATGCTTTTTGCTAATTATTCAATTCCCTGACGAAGTAACATTTTTGGGAGAATCCATCCAAAGCTAAACAAATACGCTGGATGTGTAAATGCAACGAGTTCAAAGACACACTGGACGGTGGTAAATATTGGAGGGCCGCGTGGGGGCTTGTTTTTGTGAAGACTGCAGCCACCTGTTCAAGCTGCTGTATGTAATGATCCCTCCCATCAGCTCACACTCCAAAGTATACCTACCAGACGCTCATCACTAAACGTTCGAGTTGGAGACCGCCGTCACGGGCGAGGAAGAGGATTTTGTAAAAAATACCAAATTCATTTTCTGATAATAATTGACGCTCTCCACCAAGGCCATTTATTTCTACATGACCACCTATGTTTTTTTTTGTCCTCCAACATCCACTGACCTTTATAATCCATAATATTGACCTTTGGAGGCTATGGCAATATATCATTTCTTTTATTATTTTATTGGCTGTGAATTAATTGGATTTCCTCCCTTACAAGACAAGAAGCAGTGTGGACGTTCGTTATTTAATCACTTCGGAGGAGTTGTGAGCCGTGTGCACATATTGTCACGATGTGTGCAAATGCTTAATCCAGAAGTTCAATTTTTAGCCTTGGCTTTAAATCTTTGTCAGGGCCTCTGCGTAAAACAAATTGGGGGTTAGCTTGTTTTCCCACCTCAGCTGTTCCTCATTTTCCCTCTTTGTGCTGCCTTGTCCTTACTTTGGGTTGCTGAAAAATTGCCAAACAGAGAGATGAAATGTGGCTTTATATCTCTGCCTTTTTCCCCTACCCTGTCCTCTCTTTGTCTCTCTCACTGTCTCTCTTTAATTACAGAGAAGAATTACCATCACACGGGGGACATTTGGATAATGAACACACACACACACACACAAAAAAGCGATGCATTGTGATTGCACGTCATATTCGCACAGAAATTAATATTTCTCAAATAAATAAAAACCTATTTTAGCCTTTCCTGAGTTCATTTTAAATTGTTTCTGATTTTGCTCGTTATTTAAATGGATATATTAAATGGATACTACAAAACGCTGATCAAGCATTAAAGGATTTCATTTTGAGGAATGTAGACTTTGTATTAAAAAAAGGGTAAAAATCAAAAACGAAGACGTGACTTAGAATCTTTTCTCAAAATGAACAACAGGAATCGAGACCAAAGGTATATCAGTTGTTTCCGCTCTGTTGCAGAACTCAATGCTGAAGCCTCTGTATAATTAACGCGTTAAGATGAAGCAAGGCTCTAATGGATCATGTAATGGATCACATCTAACTCAAACCGTAATATTTGCTTAAACGGCTCCGCATTTTAGTTCTTAAATGTCTTTCCGATGGGAATAACACAATGCAGTTATTGATGTATGTAAATGGATGCTCTGTGTTTACAACAGGTTGCCAGCTGCATCAGGAGTAAAAAAAGGGGCTTATTGCTGACTTTGTATTGACAATCCTTTCAGCAAGCCACTAACTCACATTTCTTCCCACCGTCTCTTTGTAAAATAATGGCCAATGCAACATTAGCCTACTATTAAGCTTCGATCTGGTTACCAAGCTATATTTCAGACTGTGTCTTGATTTAGTTTGCTTTTGCTCAGAGCAATGAATTACACTCAGTGTACTTCACTTACTTGCTTTGGGAGCGTGGCAGAATTGAATGGTAATTGTTTGAAATAATATATTAGCAAAAAAAAAAAGTCCCCCGTCAGATCCCCTAAACTGAAGTCAAACAACATAGTTGATCGAGTTATTCCTGTTTAACTTTTTATAAGCCGACATCTAAATAAATCTTTCTTTCTCCCCAGGCTACAGATCCAGATGCAGGGGTTAACGGATTGGTGCGCTACAGGATCGTGAATCAACCGGACTTGTTTGTAATCAGCGCTAATGGTAGCATCTACACAAGAGTGCCTCTCGACCGGGAACTCCGGAGCCAATATGACCTGGTGGTGGAGGCCTCCGATGGGGCCGTGGATCCACGACGGACCACTTTGACCCTCTCAATCCAGGTCACGGATATCGATGACAACAGCCCGGTCTTCTCCCAGCAAACGTATGTGGCTAATGTCCCTGAGAACAGCCCAGTGGGAACTGTGGTCCTGAAGCTAACCGTAAGTACTCGTGTGCATGTGTTGTTGTTTTTTGCTCTTCATTCTTAAATGTCTTTTGCCTTTATGCCTTCACATAATGCAGCACAGGTGCTTCAAACGGCAGCTGCAGTAATTGGCTTTTGCCATCTTTCAACTTCAAGTGTTAAGATGAGATGCTTTTCCAGGCGGACAGATTTACAGAGAGAGAGAACCAAACGGTACTCTCCCTTCTACACAAAGAGAGAATTATTTTTCTCCTGCCATGACAGCTCTTTGGGCTTCTTTAGACTCAAACCCAATAAGAGTCAAAGTTTGATTTTTCAAACAATAAGCAGCCTTTGCCATCTGTCCTTGAATAAAATGAATATGATAAATACATATAATAAATTAATGTCATAATCCTTACATTGAAAAAACAAAAAACGTTGCTCTTGTGTTTGCACTGAAGTGGAGCGAGGAGCAAACACGGAGCGGAGTGGCGCGTAATTGCCGCCATATTGTGAGTGACATTTCAGGAAGAGGGATAAAGCAAGGCGAGAGGATGAGAGGCAGTGGGTGAGGGTTGAGGGCGAGGGGTGTGAATGATACTGGCAGTGTGACACCATTAATCTCCATGACAACTCTAAGCAGACTGGATGGACGCCCAAAGAGCCAAAGTGAGACAAACATGAAAATAAAGTAGATGAGTTTGTTAACTTTAAACATAATGCTAAATTTATTCATTTTACTGTTTGTGAATAATATCAAGCTTGTGTGTACGCAAAGTTCAAAATGTGTTCCATCATCCTTATCATCTTCCATTACAGGGGCCTTTGCAAGTGATTTGTGATTTTATGCAATGAGCATGATGAGCTTTCCCTTCTGGTTCAGAAGAACCTATTAATGATTGATGATTAAAGTAACTACTGCAGAATAAAAGCATTAAAATAGAAACATTAACACTAATTTTTGCAACCACAGCACTTATGTATAGAGTACCAGTCAAAGTTTGGACACACAATCTCATTGAATTGAATGAGAAAATATGTCCAGACTGTATACAATTTTGACACTGTAAATCCTCTCCCTCTTTACATCACTGGACTGTGTTTGCCCCCGATCATCATTATCCGCTTCCTCCTCGCAGGCGGTAGACTCAGACCTCTTCTCCAACGTCACGTATCGGATCAAGACCGAGTGGGCCAGGCAGCTGTTTTCTCTGAATCCTGTCACTGGGGTGCTAACTGTGCTGCAGACCCTGGACTTCGAGGACCTGGCTGCTATGGGCATGGGGGCCACTTTCACTTTCCAGGTGGAAGCTGTCGACCAAGGAGGGGTCACGCCCCCGGGGCAGGCTACCGTCACGGTCCGCATCACGGTAAGGGACCCCCGGATGGTCGGTCCACCTCTTCCCCTCCATTCCTTCCATCTATCCTCATTGCCCCCGAGGCACAGCAGCACTGTGCGGTGAATATCACTGACTCATTAGCAGAGAGTTTTACAGTAAAAGCAGCTCGTTCCGAGCCACGGTGCAAAAGGGGATTGGAGACATATTGTGCAGAGCAGCACCTGGGCTCCTTTTGTAATATGAAATGCAGTTTTACTCCATTCATTGCAAAAGCTTAATGCATTTCCTTTGAGAAACATATTTTGGCCTCGCAACCTGCCTGGCCTGGTAACATCATAGTGACAAAGATAATTTGATGGATGGGTTTTTTCAGCCTCGCACACTGAGCTATTCCAATCTGAATGACTCATTAGCTTGTTGACAGCAATTATGTCAGGTTTTTTTTTTCATGAGCTTGTATTCCCTTTACAACCTTTCGAGAGATTAACAGCTGAATCCAAACGAAAGGATTAGACGCCTCATGTTGTGCTACCGTTCATGAGTGTGTGTGTGCGCATTTGTGCGGTTAATGGGTGTGTTTTTGGTCTGTGAATAATCCGGCGCCTCAAAATGTGTGCATTCACTTCAAGCTCTCCGTATGAATTCAGTCCCCCTCAAGTGGCTGTCTCAAAGTTTGCAGAATTAAGCCTTCTATATTACACTGCCTGGGAAGCTTCTAAGCTTATTTAAGCAGGCTCGCTGCATGAACTGCCAACCTGTAGAGCGAGTTTGTCCTCTGATAAGGACAAGCTTTGTTGCAGTGTTTGCGCTGTCACCCAGGCACTGTGTTTGATAGGATAAAGCCTTGCAGCTACTGATATCCATGTCTGCTATTTGAAACGACAGACATGAATCCGAATGAGCCTAATGGATTCACACAGGCTTCTCGGGGACTAGTTGGAGCTGATTCAACTGATTCCATTGGCTTCCTCATGTAACACCTTCAGAGGGTTGTTTGAAGTTGTTTTGCGTTGTTTTGTCGATGTGTCTTTTGTCGGATGCCCTGCAGTCACGGATTGAGTGTCCTGTCTGTGTCTTTGTTCCGAATGATTCTACAAAACACTTTATTCTATTCTTGTTCTTCAGAATTGTAAGATCGGAAACCATGTGCTTGCGCGGCATGTGTGTGTGTGTGTGTGTGTGTGTGTGGAGGAAGACATGCATGTGTTGGGAGCACATGCATGTATTAAGCAATCAGGATTGTGTCGCATGACGTGAACACTTGCTGCACAATGATCAAGCCTTGTTGTTCAAAGTAACACCTGAATTATAGATGTTGTGCTAACACTAAACCTGTGTATAGATCAAAGTGAGGCTCCACTGAGTTTATATGTTTACTCAATGGTCAAGTTAGAACACTGGAAATGAAGGAGAAAAGTCAAGAGATAAGAAGATCAATTTCAACAATTTGAAAACGGAACTAATCTATTCCGGACAGAAATTTCTCCTAACGCATCCCCCAACATATTATACACTGTTCTTTAAACATCATTAACAGCTTTTATTTATTGTCAGGTACTGGGTGGCGACATCTGTTTATCCGTCAAAAATAAACCAAAGAGAAATAAATAATTGATTATTATGAATTTTCACAGCAGTATTTTGTAAATATAATAACATGTTGTGATTATTTACCAAATAATAATTATAATAATTAGCACATGCCTTAATAAAGTATTAGTTACATCAATTTAATTTGCACAACATATGATTTAGTTTTAGTCTGCCAGCCACATCATTTTAAAATGAATGTCTTTATTCAGTATTGGTGTGACTACGGTAGCAGCATACTAGGAATGCACTCATCTTAGACACACAGTTTCTTAAAGGACATGGATAAATTCTTAGGACGTGGAGAATAACTGCGGTGGGAAATTTGACCTCAATCCCCAATAACTTGCTTGAAGTGTAAGCTGAAATCAAACAAAGCCCCAGCTGAGAAATCTGGTGCAACAATATTTCTCTTTTCGGATGCACACAGAATCTGCAAAAGCAGGAGAATAATAAATGTATACATGTTTGACCCATGAAACGCCTTTAGTGGATTTTGACCAGTCAATCTGCAGTATAGCTCAACATTTTCTCTTCTTTTCTCAAATATGTCTCATGACTGCAACTTAACCAAGGTTACAAATTTCACCAACCCTGATACACATAGTTTAATGGATTTTCTTTTTGTTTTTAGGACATGAATGACTTCTCCCCCATCTTCACCCAAGATCTGTATAAGGGCTTGGTGGCACCCAATGCAGAGAAAGGAACTGTCATCACAACTGTCTTTGCTGAGGACAAAGACCCACCAGTGAGTATAAGAAACACATGTCGCACTTTAACTTAATATTTAAAACAAGCAATGAGGGAAAACGTTCATTTTCAAAGCACACGGATCATGATGACTCCATCTGTTTCTTTTATAAACAAGGCAGTAATGGTCTTGTTGCGCTCTCGGAAAATCTACTAATTTCAGCCATGGCCCTGTGAAAAGATGCGTTTTCCATGCTGCTGTGTGTTTATGTATCGAAAGGGGTCTTTGCTCTCTGAGTCTTCCATCGGTCGCCTCAGAGAGCTTCATGTCTCCTCAGACCCCTTCGCACCACTATATCTGAGCAGGTTCTCTTGGGACTGGAGCGACGAAGATCCTTTGTTCCTCGTTTTCTGTGGAATCTGTAAAGCATTGAACGCAATGCAGAAGTGCAATAATGACACAGTGTTGAGACTAGAATTTTTATAGCGAAAAAAAGGAGAACTGGAGAACATTTTCAGGGGCTGAGAATATTTATAGCTTTGTTTGTTTCAATAGAATATTTGATATATTTAGGATAGCAAATCTCCTCAAAGCGTTTGGTTCCACGTTTTTTTTCTTGGCAGTAACAACCGACTTAATATTTCATTGCACTTGGTGAATTATTAGTTTTCTCACACGTCTACTCTCTCTGTTCTGTTTAATTCTTCCCCCTATTTATTTTACCAGTGTATTTCTCTCACAAGGCAAAGTGTCTTTTCTTATTTAGTTTCACTCTCTGCGAAAACCAAAAAGAATGGGACTAGCCCAGTGATTTCCCGGCCTTGCAGTAATAGCCTCCTGCTCTAAATGTCTTGTCTGTTTGGACTCTGTGCTTGTTACTATTGGCTCTTCCGCTGACGGGATCTCACCGCGGTCTGGTCGAGCTTATGGACCCTAAGCAGCGATTAAACGCTGAGGCATATGGATGCCTGTCCGTCCCAGCTATGTGTGGTAAAACAGCCCCACAGCGCCGTTCATCTCACTTCTCCTCCCAGAGGGAGACTCAGCCTCCCTCTTCTTCCCCTGCATGGAGCTGTCCACGCAGCCAGGGATTCATTTTTAGAATATTACCTCTTCCCCTAGTATTTTATTGCCTAAACCGCTCTCGGAGAGGAATATTGTGCAGGAAATATTTGCTGAGGCCTGAATATTAGGTGTGCAAAGTTAAAATCAAAGGAAATGCCTTTCGACAGGACTCATACAGTCATTAGAAAGAAAAAGTATTGGTGACCTTCGTCTGGCGGGTCCAGTGAAAGCTCTGTGGCCATAGGTGGTACTCCTAAAGGGCTTTCTTTGTCCTCAGTCGGACCTGTTTTACGTTATCGTGGCCCGTGTACATTGTGCCGTCTAAGCCTCCTCATCCTCTCAAGGCTTAGTGATACTGATACAGAGTGAGCTTGCCTGTTTTTAGAACACGACGAGGTGGATGTGTTTGACAAGGAATATATCGTCCTTTTCTCGTAATCCTGCTTGTCTCGTACACCTTTTTTTTATATCCCGTCTTTGACAGAGATTTATAAAGTGTGTCATTGTCTTTGTAGCATTTCTTTTCAGTGTTGACGTCGTTCCGTCCTTAGTGTGTTTTGCTGCCTTGATTAAACACATCAAATTTGTTGAGGATCGTCTTCCATTTGTTAAATAAGTCTGGATACTCTATTCCTGCCAAAGAAGGGAAACAGATTCTTAAATCCTCTGGGAATAATTTCCTTTAGTAGTCAAAAAATGTTCATATAATTCCAATTTCTTGTCCTTTTTTCAGGAGTTTTCTTAGATCTGTGGAAGAGGCCTGTGCCTGTGATTTATAATGAAACCACGTTGGACAAAGGATCTTTGACAATGATATGATAGCCCTTTTCTTTCGGGAGGAAAAATGTATTAATCAATGCCTGTGACATCCAGAGAATAAAAAGGCCCACTATATGTTCTTTAGCAGCAGAACGGAGTAGCTCAGCCTGATAAGCCCTGATTCACTGATTATGAAAGAAGAATGGGAAGGGCTGTATTGGGTCAGAAAAGGTGTTGGCTGGTGCTGCGGTGAAAAAATGCTTTCCCTTCAAGGATAGAACAAGTAAGTAAGTAAGACTGAACACCAATGACCGTCACTTTGATACTAGATACGTCGTCGTCATCAGGCTGTAAACCGCAATGAAGACATGTTTTTCCAATGGAAATTCGTTGTGACAAGAGGAGATCATCACTATGTTGTCATTAGCACCGTGGCAGCGAGTGAGACAAAACGTGAAGACTCTGTAAAGCGGCTTGACGGACAGAAGGATTAGATTTCCTAACAGACGCTGCTTAACCCCGTCTCTTATTGACCTGGATTTGGGAGCTCAGCGCATTTTGTTGACAAGATGCCTCCCATAGACACCTTACAGGGCTTAGTTGAGCGCTCACTAAGTACACACACACACACACACACACACACACACACACATTATCTACACAGGCTCATAAGACCTGCACACGCAAAGAAAGAGAGGAAGGGACTCATTCTGCTTTCCAAGCTCGACGATTCAAACACGAGCCGTGTGTATTTTGTCTGAGGGTCGTACTGATGTACTGACCATTACTTCTGCTATGTTGAAAAGGGTCAGCAACGTCTATCCCTGTGCGCTTTGCCAGAAGGGTCTTTTAAAAGCATATTTTGGGCAGGGCCTCTCAAGCCCATAACCTCCATGTCAATATCCTTCTAACTGAGAGAGGAGAGCACCATGGAAACAACTTGGTTCCAGGAAGGAATTTTTTTTTTTTCACATTATGAAACTATTGCTATTATAGACATTTCCAACTGTCCACTAGTCTAGTCCATCACATTGTTTTGTATATAGCCCTTTATCCCTGTTCATTGGTTACTTGTCATTAACTATTTCACAAGTCATATAAAGTGTATGAATGTGTCGACTTCTTCCTCAGCCGGCCCAAACCTTGTTTTTGTTGTTTTTCCCTGACGCATCTTTCGTTCTTCTGATGTTGTTCATCATTTCATGAACTAGCCGTCCTACACTACAAGATAATTGGAATCTTTGAATCCAGTGTTTGGCTTCAAGGAAGGATCATTCGATTGCAGAGGGAATAGTTGAACAGCATGTGTAGATTTGTTGCTGCTCATCTGTAATATTAATTAAGCAGTGAGGTCACTCAGCAGTGGACATAAAACATTCATAGTCACACCCAACGAGGAAGGTATTGTGCAGCTGGAAACGTCTCTCAAAGGAGACGGACTGAGACGCCACCTGATTTGAATGGATTTGTATTATGTGGAAAATATCACCAATTATTTGTTATCTACTGGTTTTCTTCTCTCCCAGATCCCAACAGTTCAGCGAGATGCAAAAAAATGTTAGAGATGATGGAACAACAATAACTAGAGATCGTCTTTTGCTACTAAGTTGACTATAATATATGTTAATTCCTTGAGCAAAGCAGCTTTAACTGTCAAGGTCTTGCCGACTGTATAGGCTCTTCTGCGTCGATACAGCGTCAAAAATGCTCTTTTTTAAAATGAATTGCCCAATCCCGCCATCTTTACATGTTGGAAAACAAGTTGAAGAGTTTTTAGAAAAGGCAGCACTTTTTTCTGAGAATCCCTTTAGAGATTTCACTCAGATCAGTTTTCTAACCTCTTAAAATCCCATTTGTGTGAGTAAGCCTCCCTTGGGATTCGTGCAACCTCCAGATTTACCTCTCTCTCTCTCTCTCGCCCCCCCCCCCCCCCCCCCCCCCCCCCAGTTCTTGCCCCGTCCCCCTGAGAGCCAAATCGGTTTAGGCAAGGGAGCACAGTATCAAAAGGAAGGGGTCCAAAGGGATGAACCAGAATAACACAAGTTACCGTTGTGATCACCATTCACAAACTGTGATTAATCTTCATCAAAGGGTCAAATTAAAGTCCAGGCTCTCGCTAATGAATGTAAGTGTGTCACCCGGGAGACAAGAAGAGGAGTGGGCTTAATGGAGAAGGTTTTTGTTCCAAATGAAAGGGACAAAGTTTGAATCAATGAATGACAGGGAGAGTAGATTAAGACTGTCTGATGTGGAAAGACGGGCATTAGGATCATTTTTGAGATGAGCAACCTTTTCCTACCTTAATTACTTCAATTCTTTGTTTTTATTTTTTCGGATACATTCATAGTCAGGGAATTAGTTTAAAAAACATTATTCAACCGAGTATTTCTAAGCAAACTAAGATTGCGACACCCTTAATGGCTTTAATACATTTCACTCAGAGCGGTTTCTTTGACGCACCCTCTTTTCATCTTCACAGCTTCATCTGACAATGTTTCCGGATAAGTGGACTGATGTGGTTCATGTTCTCCCTTTTCTCCGTCCTCCAGGGTACCCCGGCCAGTTTTGTCCGCTACAAAGTGGACCTGCAAAGGTCACCGTACAGCGGGAGCATCTTTGATGTGGAAGAGGTGACTGGAAGAGTCGTCACCAAGGTCAACCTCAATGAAGAGCCCAGTGTCACTTTTAAGGTGAGTGGCAGTGATCATGGGGACAATAGGGATGATTGTCTCCTTGCTGCCAAGATGTAAACATTGTTTACGTTGTTTCTCTGAGAATCTTGTCCTGCAGGAATAGGATATAGTTAATGGTGGTCGGATAGATTTAGCACAGAATGAGCGGCTCCTTCAGAGAGTTCTCGGGGAACAAAGCGGATCTTCCTTAGTAAGCACATACACAAACAATGAATAAACAATACTAACCCTCCTGTCCTCATTTTCTGTATACACCCTGTGTCCTTGAAAGTTGAAAGGAAAGTCTCTCTTTCAGCTTCAGGGTTTTCTTCTTGTGAAGATGATTCATCATGCTCTGGGTTGTATTCCTCCCCAATTCCTCCATTTCCTCTTGTGAATCAGAGATGTCTTGCTGGACATCTGAAAAAAATCAGCTCTAGAGCCTCTTCAACGTTATAACACACACGCATGGCTTCAGCACAGAGAGAATTCGGGGTCCTGTCATCTGCAGCACTTTTACACTTTTATAAGATCTGCAGTCTGCGAGAACGCCACCTGTGGTGTTTACGTCTGCTACTTTCTTGCTCACGTTTACTATTAATTGATCTGAGACTGATCAAAGGCACAGCAGTCTGCGAGAAGACCACCTGATTTGTCTATCTGAGACACAACTAAAATATTGTAACATTCTGTGGTGTGTAAATAACTCTGTGACCTTGATTTCAACTCTATTTGCCTCATGGGTCATTTTGACCCGAAGACCACCTTTGTACCTTTGTTTGTACAGCTTACATGGAAACGTCAATAAAAGCAACATTTCACTTTTTCTACTGTTGGGGCCAATCTAGGAAAAGTCAAAAAAATTTAAGTTAAAAAAATATCGTTAGGGGATTTTGGGTATTTTGACCCGAGGACAACAGGAGGGCTAAGCAACAAGTTAAACCCCCAAAGGCAACATTATTGCACATAAGGAGGAAATGGGGTGGTGGTGGAAAAGGCCGTGGCAGTTATAGTGAGAGGTTTGAGGGGTCATAATGTCCCCTCCTGCATAGCCGATGATTGTATCTATTGCACTATAGTCATTAATCATCTTCCTAATTTGCCCTTTGATAAGAAGGACCATTTTAAACTGTAAAGTGTTTTAGTGGAGTGTACAAAATGTCTGAGGTTTCAACATTTGACTTCAGTTAATAATCATGATGGAGTTTCTATGGTGGTGTAGGTAAGTATAATCAATGAATTGTGAACAATATATTGCATTATATTCTAGCGATAGTCATCGGTAAATTATTATCCTGTACCAAAACACAAGAATCACAAACTTTTTTACTGCATCAATGTTTTTTTTCCCGTCTGGTCGATGTTAAGTGGCTGTATGTTTTAGTCTCCTATAAGTTTCTCTGAAGATCAGCGGGTCAGAAATGTGCACATTGACTTTAAAAATCGAAGAACAGTTTCAGGGAATTATTAAGAATTGTCATGGCGGTCATTTCTTTGCTCCTCTTGTGTCTGTGACCACTAATATCGAGTTTCTTTATTGATTAAACAAACCTCCCTCCCAAGTGCTTTCTTACCAATTTAAAGTGACCTCACATAGGCATCCAGTATCTCTCGCGCTCGGGTGCTTCATCCCATTTTTTTCTTTAAACGTGTATCCACGCTTATTCTCTTTTCGACCATATCTCTCCATCTCTGCCGACTCGCTCCCCCCTGGTTCCCCCGGGGCTCCATTCTCCACAGTCTGTCAATGTAGATCAATACATTCGCACTCGCTCTCTGGGAGCTTCGTAGGCTGCTCGCCAGATCATATTTTGCATATGTATCCAGTTTGTTTTTCTATGGATTCCCAACATGCCTATCAAAAATGACTGGGAACCTCAAAAAGGTTATTATTTGTGTAGTGAGTAGTGGTATTGTAAAGAATGATAATAATTGTGTGTGTGTGTGTTGTTTACGTGCTCTCTCCTTCCCTCTGCAGTTGTTTGTGATAGCATATGATGATGGGGAGCCTGTGAAGTCCAACAGCTCTTTGGTGGAGATCACTGTTCTTCAGCCGTCCCGCATCCCGATTTTCACCCAGGAAGAGTACAGGTATGTCACCTTGACACACTGTTGATGCAGCCGCCTCAGCCTGTGAAATTCACACATCAAAGCGCATCTCGGGCTGTGCTGCCAGACACGGAGAGATGGTGAGAAAGAAAATTGGTAGTGGGCAAAGAATCTAAAAATAACACACATGTATTTACCTCACATCTTCCATTAGGTTTTTGCTATACTTTGATCATTATTTTATCACAATGCCAATTCAATATTCTCACTTCAACTGTCGCCAATGGCTGTGAAGTAATACTTTTCATACATATACATATTGACATATTTTTCACACATATTATTTTTTGTGATAACGATATAAATCCAGACATCATTGCGCCTCTCAAATGAAGATGCCCCAGTTTGCATTCTGTGTCTCCATCTTTATCACACTGTCTTTTCACAGCATTAATGAATCCGGAGAATAAATATGCACAACAGCTTGGGGGGGTGTAGAAGCTGTAGATTGTCACCGCTGTAAATCACCATTTGTTTCTCTCCGAGGGGAAAAGCCGCGTTTCCCTCCGAGTTTGTTAAGCGTCTCATTCAACAAGATGGAGTGCTTGGACTGGTTAACTGGCAGAGAGACATTCAGGATGAGGGAACATAACCTGCGGTGCTCTGAGATGACTTCATCACACGCGCTCGGCTGTACCGATGGTATTGTGACTCGGGAGGAGGCTGAGGAGCCGTATCTGATTAAAAATAAAAGAAAGAAACGTAGGTAATTAAAACTCTCCAGCTGAGCTGCTTTGGAGAAATCCTCCAGCATGAGCGAACACCAGCGTCAAAACTGTGCTGTGACTTTTGCATCGCCGCGGTATCGCTACCCGTCCGCGGTGTTCAGGAGACGCTTGCCAGGCTGAGAGGCTCTAAGGTCTGATGGCACAATGCAGTTCCCCCGGGAGAGTGAAGTAAAGCTTGTTCTAAGTGGATTGTTTTACTAACTCGCATGTCAGTCCAAGTAAGGGAGTCTTGGCAGACTTTATAACACGATTTGATTTGCCTTCCTGCGTAGGACAGGGAACGTAAATCCTGGCCAACCTGTCGACGCGTAAAGCGAGGCGTGTGTATCTCTCGCGCCTCTCTGCCCATCTCACTTCCTTTCACCCCAGTGCGCCCGGTTCACCGCGGGCCCGTCTGCGTCAGTACTTTGGTGTTTTCCAGTACAGCCGAGTTTGTGCGCATCGCACACGTCGGTTGTAATCCAGCACTTTGTGTGTGTGTGCGCGCTCACGTTCCCCCGTTGCTCGGCTTCATTCGGTGATTGATACACAGGCGCAGCGGCACAGCAGTTGAAAGGCCACTGATTAGTACTTTGAACGAGTGCTCTGTCTGACACACACACACACGCACACACACACAGAGGGTCGGGACCATGGGCCCGGACCTTTGCAAGGTGTCACATTGATATTGCTGACCGCACGCGGTGACAGACCTGCTGTAAATTGTGGGCCGTGAAAGCATTAACCAGGTGCCTGGGCCTCTCCTGTGGACAAGGCTCTCTCCAGCGGAGAGCCTCTAATCTGCTCGCTCTCCGATGAACGGTCTCGCCGCTCTATCGTCTTCTCCCGGAGGAGCCTCCTGAGCACAAATCACCCTCTAAATGTCCACGGAAGATCTTGTCTGTCTCTGTAAAGGCAGTTAGTTATGGCAGCAATCAGGTGTGCTATGACTACAGCTCCAGAGCACACAATTAAAACCACTCTGCAGGGCTCCGGCTGACTTAATGATTTTTTGCTCCTGCTTTATGGTCGGTCTCCTCCATCTGTCAAAGGGAAATAAGGGGCTCCTAGTTGTTGTTATCTGAAATAAATGGATTATACCGTAGTTGCTACTGCCGCAGCATGGTGACACTTGCTTTGGAGCGAAACACCATGTGTTGTCTCTGAGGAAATGCCAATGCCGTGTTTAGAGTTTCACAACCTGTCTGATGTTATTTTTTACCTGCATTAAGTTATGTTGTTAGTCTTAACGCCGCAGTGAATGACAGTGGTGTGTGAAAAGGTTGCTTCTAGTGCTCAAACTACAGACAATTGTCAAGCACAACTTTAATGTGGCAAGTGGCAAGAATTGAGTTCATGGAATGGCTTCTCACTATCTGCTACATGTGTGTGTGCAAACATCTCAATCTGGCAACTGTATGTAATAAGTGATTAGCCCCATGTTGCTACACTTTATTGGGAAAGACTTTTAATGGCCTTGATAACATCTTCATGCACTTTTTCAAAGTATCTTAACTTTTTTTAATCATTCTTCATTCTGATTGTTTTTAATTTTCTGTTTCTCTTTTCTATGACCTAATTATCTACTAATCAAGCTCTGGCTTGTTTTTTTTTTTTTTTGGCAGGCACCAAGATAACAGTTCAGCAGTTCTTATTGAGTCAATTCCTTGCGAGTGCAGTTTTATGAGCAACCTCACAGATGTTTGGCCTGAACTAAACAGGGAAAAGCAGCATTCAGCTTTTATTCGCCACATTCCTGGGACACCTTGAGATCCGCTCCGACTTTCAGTTCTTTCAAATGAGCAATTCTTTATTTCTTGCTCTTCACTGGAATTGTTTATTTACTGTGATTTATTTGACTAATATATTTTTAGCTTCGGTTTCATTTACTCTTATTTAAAATATTTTGTGTATGTTTTTTTCTATTTTCTTGTCTTCAAGCTTTTGGGTCTTTACTTTACTTAATACATGCACTTTGTCTTGCCCGAGTAAGCGACGTGATGTCATTATTTGATGCAAAAAGGGAAAAAATAAATATACAGTTTAACCTTGCCTTCCTTCAAAGATAATTGGACTAAATGGCACTAAATTGTATTCAAAAGAATCAACACCAATTTCTTTTTTTTAACTCACAGACCTTATTTTTAAGCTGTTTCATCCAGGTCATTTTGTGCAATGCAATCCCATTAAGTGGGAGATAAATACAGACATCTTTATGCATGATGTATCAAAAATTGGCATTGACATTAGTACAGAAAAGAGCCACACAAATATGTGTCGTTGATTTTCAGGTAAACTCTCCAATTAAGCGACAATGAAGTCAGGACGTTGGTCATGAATAAGCTGCATATATGTGTATCAAAAAGGGTCAGTCGTGCAGCTTTGCCACCTCCAAATAATGTTGGGGGGGACGAGGGGGGATGATTAAACAACTGTGAACGGCTCATTTGTATGGGACTCACGGACACAACCCTTTGGCAAAGTCTTTAGCACAAGACACATGGGAAGGGGATGAATATTTACAGTCACCTGTGTGTGTGTGTGTGTGTGTGTGTGTGTGTGTGTGTGTGTGTGTGTGTGTGTGTGTGTGTGTGTGTGTGTGTGTGTGTGTGTGTGTGTGTGTGTTGTTTGAGATGAGGAGGGCTAAGCTGCTATCTGACACGGACCCACTATTCGAATTCCTGTCTCTTGCACCGAGGCCACTTTTTCGGCCGGATGTTTCAGACCTGTAGTCTGAGCAGTTTTCCGTGGGGCTTATCTGCCCCGCAGCACTTCCCCTTTCTAAATCTACTCTGAATCACATGAGACGTTTGCCTCACCGCTCCTGAGTATATCATTTTGCTCTCCCTTTCCTTTCACACCCCCAAGCCTCTTCTCTGCTTGTATCTCCACCCCTGTCAGTTTCTTTCTCTTCTCATTCCTTTTCTTTTCCCGTCACTTTACAGTCGGTAGCCCTTCATTTTCTCCTCAGAGACCGAGTTCATTTCTTTCAGTGTGCCTGGATGGGTGCATTTCTCACCATAAAGTCCTCAATTGATTGGTGTTATGCTCAAATTGAAATGCCATTTAATCTATGTCCATATGAATATATTAACACAACCTCTGCTTTGCATGTATACTATACAGTACATTATACGTGCTACCCCTGTAAAAAATTTCAAAAGTCTGCCTTTTTAGTGATTAAAGAGGATATTATTTGCGTGTGAAATGTCAGTTGCCATTCCTTTCAGACTATTATTATGCAGAACACCACAGCCTATTATTAAGTGATGCTCAAGTCATCCTGCATGGTGTCAACATGGAGTATTACTACAATCATCAGCTGTCACTATGTGCGCATAGTCCCACTAATGACTTAATTGGTGGCGGTATACTGAAATGACTGTGCAGGCATGTTGTTTGTTCCTCCATACAAACATCTGGCAGGAAAGAATAGAACATTTTCTTGGTTGCAGCCTCCGGTCTTAAAGGTGCATTTTGTACATAATAGAGGGACCACTTTTCTGGTTGTTATTTATTCTTTTAGCCATTATTGTGAATGTCAGTTCAAACTGAGGAATATTATACAACACATCTCTTTCCTCCAGTTTTTTGATGTTGACAGACCATGGAGACTGCCGGGGTAACTTTTATGACTGTACTGTGACCATTGATTTAATGTTCTCCCCAGTTTGCCTCGCAAACGGCTGCACCTGAAGCACTTGAAGTAGACATATCCCGTAGCTTGAAATGCCAGCCGCACAGGACTGTAACAGAAAAAAAAGCATTAATGGACAAATTAAACGGACACAAACTTCTTCTCATTTTAAAAGAAACGACTCAATCCCCCCCTCCTTGTCCCCTCCATCAACTCCTCGTAAAATGTGGATGAAAAATTGCATTTATTCCTTTGAGAGAAAATAAACCCTTTTCCGTAACTCATTTCTAATTCACACCAGGCTGCAATTCTCACATAATTAGGCAGATGACAAGCTTTCATAACATACGTCTCCTTTATTGGCTGCTTGCTTGCAACTGTTGTCCTGCCAGACGTTTACACAAGTGATGGAGACGCTCACAGCTTGCTTTTGCCCTCATTGCCAGGTATTTAAAGGGTTAGCTGTGAACCGTGCAGCGTGCTCTCCCACACGCTGTCGTCATGCCTCATTGCAAACATACATTTAGAAAAGATACCTCAGCCCTCTCTATTTGATTCCATTCATCCATCCATCCACCCGTCTCTCCTCACAGCCATACGGTGTTCTCGTACTTCTCAAAGGCGTGATTGATTTTCGA